TAGACCCCGAAGACGCTTTCCGCAGACGAATTCTCCGAAGACGAATTAGACCCCGAAGACGAATTAGACCCCGAAGACGCTTTCCGCAGACGAATCTGATGGCAATGTTGGATCGGATTGAGCAGATATGTGCCGATGGCTGAAGATGCAGTTTATAGCAGCAGAAATCTTTGATTGCCGCTTCATGTGCTGTGTGCAATGTCCAATTGTTGCGCTGTGTGTTCTGCCATATCTTGGACATGTGTTGGGGTTGCCTGCTGCTTCAACAGTGTCAAAACGGCCCCTGCTACGAAGAACCGTTTCGTGCAGTTTGGAGCATCAGACGGGGTCCTGTCACGTCAGGGAATGCGGCGTCACAATGTGGCGTCAGGGGGTAATGCGGCGTCAAAGGGGCCATGTGGCGTCAGGGAATGCGGCGCCAGAATGCGGCGTCAGGGAGTAATGTGGCGTCACGGGCAAATGCGGCGTCAGGGAATGTGGCGCCACAATGTGGCGTCAGGAGGTAATGCGGCGTCAGAGGGGCAATGTGGCGTCAGGGAATGCGGCGCCAGAATGCGGTGTCAGGGGGGAATGCGGCGTCAGGAAGGGATGCGGCGTCAGGGAATGTGGCGTCAAATGTGGCGTCAGGGAGTAATGTGGCGTCAGGGGAGGAATGTGGCGTCAGGGAAGAATGCGGCGTCAGGGGGTAATGTGGCGTCAGGGGGTAATGTGGCGTCAGGGAATGCGGCGCCAGAATGCGGCGTCAGGGGGTAATGCGGCGTCAGGGGGGAATGTGGCGTCAGGGAATGTAACGTCGCAGTACTAGGAAAGTGGCGCCATAATGTGGCTGCAGCGTCAAGGTCAAAAGCGGGATCCCGTCTGCCGCCGCCCTGTATAATTCTATATAATTTAATTCTAATTTAATTTAAGTCTAATTACTAATTAATTGTTACTAGTAGTAAGGCACTTGTTACTAGAAGCGATGCACTTGTTCCTAGTAGCGAACATTGTTCCATATAGAAATATTTGTTCGAGAGCTTTGGCACCTCTTTTCGCTTTTGGCGACTGGAAGCCCACGAGACCGAGGTGCAGGGCCTGCAGGAGTTGTGGCTCCCGTTGGGGCGCCAGGCTCGTTCTTTGCGAGTGCTTTTGCAGCGACGTGAACGCTTGGCCTCCTTGGTGTGGGCGATGTCTGTGACGAGATGGCAAAATTGGACAGGGGGAAGGTGGCAAAATGGGCCGCAAGGGGCGCAACACGTTTTGGAAAGTAGAATCTGAGTAGAAGTAACGAAAGTCGCAGTCGCAGAAGTCGCCAAACGTAAAAAGAGGATACACGTTTTGCCTTGGCCTTAAGGTCACGCAGCAGGAGTTTGATGAGGTGTTCGACTTGAAGTTCCCGGATGAAGAGGACATTCTGGTGAACCGCTGGAGGGCCAAGTATGAGGAACAGCGCAAGTCTGTGGATCTCCTAAAGCAAGAGCACGATGCAGACTTAGCAAAGATGAACCAGCGAATCCAGCGGTCCAAAGACAAAACCAAAGCTGTTCTGGAGCTGTCAGGCACCGTGGTTTGGCAGTGCATCTTGGTGAAGTGTTAGGAGATTTTTTGAACTATTCTTTGGTGCCCTTTGGCTGTCAACCTGTGGCGGAATGTTGTGTTCGAAACCTGAGCGGATAGCAGCCAGCACTCAGCCACACATCCTACCAAGGCCTGGTAAATGTGGCCTTTTGTGCATGGGCTGGGTGGGTGGGAGAGGAGAAGAACCAGCGGCAGTTTGATCAGCTGGCGGAGGATTCCAGGCTCTTTCAGGCCCGCAGCGAGGGGGCCAAGGAAGCAGCACTGCAGGAAGTTCGGCAGCTTGAGCAAGAGAAGGACACCAAGCGGGAACGACGTTCTACGACCTTTTCAATTCTTTGGTGCCCTAAGTCAGCCGTGGTAAGTAGGCAGGACATGTTGTTGCAATGGCAGGGGCTTTAACATGCCTTGACTCGGCACCGTGCACCGCAGCTTCGACTAGGAACGTGCTATTGTTCGAGAGCAGAGCCTTCGCGAGAGCTGGCGCCGAAAGGTCTCAGAGTTGAACAGCATGATGCAAAGAGCCGGTCTCGGTTTGGTGACACGTGCTTTCATGAAGTGGGTGCAATTCTTGCAGCAGAGGGAGGCGCTGGCAAGAATGAGCGAGAGGCTACTGGAGCGAGGTAGCAACTATACCAAGCAGATGGTGTCCATTTCTTGTTGAGAATTCTCTTTCATTTTTCTTGGGTCTAGTCTTATCGGAAGAAGCTTCTCCATTGTTCTCAGTCTGAGTCGAGGAAGTCACTCAGGTCTTCTTAGCCTGGCAGTCGTTCTTGGGAGACTTGGCTTGGTCAGAGCAGACGAAGCAGGTGGAGATCAAAGAAGCTGCTGCTTTGGAGGCGGTGCGGCAGTCGCTGGGCGCCCTTGACACCGCTGCCGAGCGCCTGGCGCGCTGCGACCGGCTGCACGAAGCGCTGCAGAGCTGGCGAGGGGCGACGCGTCGGCATCGACGGCGCATCGCAGGCGGAACGGGCCGGGTGAAGGGGCGAAAGCCACCGGCCGATGGGGTATCTCATGATGATGTTTCCCGTGGCAATTTGTTTCTCTCCCTCTCTCTCTCTCTCACACACATACATATATATATATATAAAATATCTCCCGCATCATCGGGGGTCCACAGATCGCAATCTGCACCTGGCATATAGCCTCACGTGAGAGAAAAGGTAATTCTTCATTCTGCGTTCTTTCTGGCGTTTTGGAGGCGTTGTGAACTTCACCGCCAAGCGTGTTGATACAGCGGCTGCTGGGCTGCTGGGCCTTTTCTTCTTCCGCTGGCATTCTTCGACCAGCGGCCGCTTTGGAGCCCGGCTTCAGGCCGAGCAAAAGGCTCAGCAGGAGGTGCTGAAGCGGCGTCGGCTGCGAACGCGGTCGGTGATGCAGCTGCCGTGTGAGGGCCTCCGGTGGCATCTCGCGAAGCTGGCGTTCGGCTTGTGGCAGGATGTTGCGAAGCAGACTCGCACCCAAAAGGACTTGGAGCGGCAGCTGTCGGAGAGGGAAAGTGCTCAAATTCAACTCGGCAGCGGCCGCAAGGCGCGTGCACATGATGGATCATGGCTCGATTTGGAGTCGATCACCCAGTGAGCATAAATAGGAAATGATAAGAGTTGAGTGAAGAAGAGCTGATAAGAGTCCCAAGAGTGAAGTGAGTTGAGTTGAGCATGGAGTAAGAAGCGTTTTCCTCCGGTGCCAGGAACTCAAGACGATGCAGGCGACTGCGGCGGAAGAAGATGCAGCCTGGGAGTCTGAACGTAGCAACTTACATGAACGACTTCAACACCTACAGGCCAGGCAGCAGGAATCCAAGAAGCAGTTGCATGCGATGCTGGACAAGCGCTCTCAGCTGGACTTGTGCTCAGTTGGTTGTGGTTAGTTTTGAAGGCTCTGATGTGTTCCAGGCTTGTCATTGCAACCGTTTGATCACTGTATTGAGGAAGTGCTGCAGGACAACTGGGATCCAAAGCTTATGGCCGGACACACCACTCTTTTTCTTACCTATGGCCCAGAAAGAGAGGCTGAATCCAAGGGAGCATGCCACTCGCTCACCCACTTTCGCTTTCTTTGCTGTTTCCTTCGGTTGTCACATCTTCTCCACTTTTGCTCTGGCTCCTTTTCCTTTGGGCTCGAGTCAGGCGCCCTTTGAACCAAAGGTTGCCTTCAAACCACATCGCACGCGACAGGCGTCTTGACCGCCGAACTTCCCGTTGTCCGTTGCGCGCCTTCTGCCATGTTTTGCTGCTGCGCCGCGGAGCCGGGCCCGGCGAATGAGATGCCGTTTGGCGGCAGCGAGGAGAAGTTCCGGGATGCCTTCGTGAAGACCGCGCCAGCGATGGCGTCGCCAGACTTCATCCCAGTGGCTGGGCGCAAGCCGGACTTCCTTTTTTCACCTTTCAATCCCTTTGACTAAGGCTTTTAGAGAGGTTTTTGGTTTTAATCATGGCGTCGCATGAAAACATGGCAGATCGAATTGGATATGTATGTTTGCTTGTAGCTCGCGCTCGAACCTCTGGCTTTTTCAGTCCCGACGCATTGAGGATGTATTCGAGGTGAAGCTGAAGGATGGGTCCCATGGCATTGTCATTGATGTCACCGTGCCCCAGCTGAAATGTGTGCGTTCAATGCTCTAAGCGCGCAAAAAGCGCGCTAACAGGTCACTTGCTCTTTCTGGCGGCGCTTTGTTCTGCCGACCTCAGGACCCAGACTGCACCATTATCAAGAATCTCCGTGCTGAAGGTGGTGCCGCAGAGTGGAACAAGACAGCCTCTGAAGGGAAATGCGTCAAGGAGCCAGCTCAAAAAAACGCTCGAGCGCCAGCTCAGAGACGGCTCCAGTGCTGGTTTCTTTCGATTTGTTTTGCCTGCCGATCTGCCCACCTCTGTCAGTTGTGTTGAATGATGAGGCCCTGAGGCCCTGTCTCATTTGCCCCATGAACTCCCAGGAGTTCGACCGCGTTCTGGAGGTGAATGGCGTCCGTGGATCCAGCGTGGAGATGGCGAAAGCACTGGGCTCTGACAATGAGCCTCTGACGCTCACCTTGCAACGCCCTGAGGAGCGAACTGTTGCTTGGCCGGCTTGGGTCGCTTGGGGAAGGTTTGGAGAGGCATAGAACCCATAAGACTCTGGAGATCACCAATGAAACGAGCTTTTTGTGTCTCCTTGCATGAGTATTTCCTGCCTGCTCAGTCACTGGTCTGTTTGTTCGTGTCCAAGTTCGCTGTAAATATGTAAAGTCACGAAAGCTAGCGAAGCTAGCTGGAAATACTCTTGCGATAGCAAGGTTTCTTTCGACCGGGTGCAAATCCTAACCCCTGATTTTTCAGGTCGAAGACCCCCCCCCCTCTCCCCACCTCCCCCCCTCTCCTCCTCCTTGTCTTCCTCCCATCTTCCCTCCCTCCCTCCTCCCTCCTCCCTCTTCGCAAGTTCGACTCCGTCCTGTCGTCGCTCTTTGGCATGCGGTTAGCGTTGCGTATCTTGCGGCCGCACTCGCTCACTCTCACTCTCACTCTCTCACTGTCTCACTGTCTCACTGTCTCTCTCATCTCTCTCATCTCTCTCATCGCTTTCTCATCTCTCTCATCTCTCTCTCCTCTCTCTCTCTCTCTCTCCTCTCTGTCTCTCGTCTTTCCGTCTCTCTTCTCTCTCTTCTCTCGCAGGAGGATCCGGGCAAAGAGCCACATATAAAGGACTCTTCACCCCTGCCTCCAAAAAGAGCGCCGTGTTTTTTCCTACCTCGCTGCCCTCCACTTTCCCATTCTGGAGCGCTAGCTTTCGCCCCCCCCTTGGCCTCAAGTTCATGTTCTGGCGTTCTGGCGGCCGGACAGGCAGGATGGCTTGCAGGCACCACAGTGGGCTCTAAGAGGTTCAGTGAAACACACCAGGTCTCGCCAGGTGAGCAGCGTTCAAAACCTGAATGCAAGAACCACATGATCCGATTAAACTGCAAGACTGTCGCGTAAGCTAAAGTCTGCACGGCGTAAGGGTTGCGTAAGGTTCGGTGGAAGCCAAGCTTGGGAACTCGATGTGTAAGAGGTGCGTAAGCAATTTTGAGTTTTTGCTGAGAAACACTGCAAGCAGAAGAGGGTTGTGGACTCAATCTCTCAAAGGCCCTGTTTGCAGGGGTCGAGTGGCCCAAGACCACACGAATTCCGCGTAAGCCCCGCGTAAGCCGATTCGTAAGGTTTGCGTAGGCGAACTTCTCAGATGAAGCCCTTTGCTCACGTCCACCAAAGGTTTTTCTAAAGAAACCAAAGCAAGCAGCTGAGCACTTTTCAAGCACAAACCGCACTGTGACCCTCGCTCCAACTGCTTGGTCCCCATGGCTGACAAAAAGAAGCAGCGGGCTCCACCAAGTGAATCATACAAGCAAAGTGTAAATTACTTTACTTCGAGTGATCCCCGGGAGTGCCCACTGCGATCTGGGGCTTGCGGTTGAGGTCCGGGAGTGCCCACCGCTGTTTGGCGCATGCTGTTGGAGTCCGGGATTCCCCACTGTGATCTGGCGCTTGCTCTAGTGAAGCGGGGCAGAGGAGAAGGAGAGGGATCATCTTCTAAAATCTACTGTAACCACCCTCACATGACAGGTTGGGAACAAAAAGTGTTCACCGCTCTGGTGCCAAAACGCCGGTAACAAAACCGCCGCGTAAGAAACGCGTAAGCCCTAAGAGAAAGAACATCACCGCGTAAGCGAAAACATTGGTAGCGTAAGCATTGCGGAAGCCGACGCGTAAGCAGAGAAGGATTATAAGGCCAAGACTAAAGGGTTTCGACCACCGCTCAGGTGGAGCCGTGCCCTAGACTCTCTAGACAGTCTGAGACCTTGAGGTCAAACTGCAGAGGCCTGGTGAGATTGGGGTCGTGCTGAACTACAAGAAGCTCGGCTCCAAGGCCCCGTGGATCACCAAGATCAGTCCCGGCCTCCTCACCCGGTGGAACGAAGACATGCCCGACCAGGCCGTGGGCCTTCATGACCGCGTGAAGTCGGTGAACGGAGTGACGGGAGCGCCAGAAGACCTCATGAACGGCATCAAGGATTCCAAAGAATCGTTGGAACTCTGCGTGCTGCACTACGGCTTCGGCTTCTGAGAGCAGAGCGAAGGAAGCCTTCGGCTGAGTGGTCGCCACGGGATCGCAAAGGTGATCACTGGAGGCGACGACGAAGTCGTGCCCTAGGCCCTAGACCAGCCTTTTGACCAGACTGCCCCTTTTCATCCTTTTCACACGAGAACCACGAGAGGCATCTAGAATCTAGACGTGCCATGGAAAAAATGCCGTCGTTTCGTTTCACGTACATTCATGTAACATGTACATTCCTAATATTGCCAAAGTTCGAGGGCTTGAGCATGCAAGCAGTCAAGCAATGTTTGCAAACCACACCTTTTCAATCCCCCTTTCGCACCTCTTTCTTTTCCGACTGCTTTACGCATATGTTATTCTTTTTGGGAACCTCACTCTGGAACTAACTGAGCTGTTGCAAGGCAGCGTTCTTGACTGTGAATTGCACTCTAGGAGAAGCAGATGGCGCGCCTTCAGCACTTGCGACGTGAAGTTGGGATCGAGTGACTTCGAGCCAAAAAAGGGCTGTTGCCGGTGCGTCCATTATGACAATGATGCAGTTTGCGCATGATCAACTGGATCCTTGATACCCCACTGACCCGTGATAAAAAGCACCTGTTCTCAGAAACGATTGGAACAAAGCCGGCATTCCACAAGGTGATCTTAAAAACCCACGCAAAAGGATCCCAAAACGCCAGTGGCCAGTACTGACAGGCCGACTGGCATGCCTTGGCATGACCGACGAAATCTCGTCGTCTAGCGTGAGAGGCTCGTGGCCCTCTTTGAGCACAAGCTTCAGTTCCTGGAGCCCGCAGGCACTCGGTCGAGCGCCGTGTGCCGGCCTCGTGCCCTCGCTCACGTCGGTCCCGACCGACCCCGTGGCACCGTGACGAACCGTGGCAGGGGCCGTGGCGGTCGCCGTGGCCGCACCTGAACGACCGAAGGAAGGGCCCGAGGAGCGCCAGCTGCGGGGCGCGCGGCCGCGAAGCTCCGAGCCCATGATCGCCGGAGCCTCCCGGACGGACTCCGACACACGGCGATCGCGGAGCACTTCCACGCCCCAACGTTCGTGCCTGCGAGGAGGCTCCGGCCGCCCCCGAGCCGTGCGAGGTGGGCCGGTGTTCGTTTGGGGGCGATGGATGAAGATGGAGATGGAGTCTGCAAGGTGTACCTTTTTGCGCGTCCTATGTGGTAGGTGACTTGTACATCCGGTGGTTGGTGATCTCACGACCCGTACGGAGGCGGTGCCAGCTCCCGCAGCTCCACCGGAGGATGAGGCCGGAGGATCGTGCCAGTCGGGAGATAAGCGGATGTGTTGGATTTGGGATTGTGCTTCCAGTCAGCAGGATTCATAGGTGGGACGGCCCCGGAAAGGACGGAGTTGGTTTTCCTCGTTGGTTTGCCACGGTCCCCCAAATGGATGACCGTGGCACGGTCCCCCCAAAAGGACATGCTCGAAAAGGGATTTTTATTACTTTTCTCTCTATTTGGGGGGTCATATATGAGGCTGGCTAGACTCTAGACCAATGGCTGAAGAAGTGCAAAAAGAGGGGATAATATACATAATCAGTGTTTTAGTCCGTGTGACGCTGGTGTTTCCGTTCCCTGCTGCAGAAATACGCGGTGTATCGCCGCATGCATCGGACTGGTGTGATGCTGCCTCAGCCTGCAGAATCCGCAGCACGTTGGTGAGGAAGAGAGAGGTACAAGCATGGAGAGAGGCAGCATGGTTGTCATAGAGAGAGGCACATATGCACATAAACTGATCGATTGAGCAGACTTGTGCTGTGGTATATTATGGTTTTGTTTTTGAGCGTTGACCTGAATGTTGACACATGTTGACACCAAGGCCCCTCCTAGCTATTCGCCAGAAGTTGCTGCTGGATGCCCTGCAGGAGACCACGCGGCATTTTCTGACAAAATGAATGATTCCGGTGTTGGTTTTGGCCTATGGTGCTACTATCCACTTTCTCTCTTCATGTTTTGCGCATGGTGCATTGTCAGCATTAAGGACCCGTCCTTGGATGTAGCTATTCTCGATACCTTCGACGGTCAAGTGCTCAGCCTTTCCTTGGTGCTGATTTCCTCACGGCAGGCGTCCTGCTTTTCGGATTTCACCTGTGCCAGGTGCAGCAGGTACCGGTGCTGGCGCCCCCATCGCCAAGCCTGCCAAGGCACCGCCCAAAATGGAGGTGGAACCCAAGCAGGCTGGCGACCTGAACATCTCATGTGATATTTTTGCTGTTCCTGGTGTGCTCGTGCGTTCGCAAGAGTGACGGAGATGAGGCAGAGGATCACGAACCACCAGCCACTCCGAAGCAGAATGCCAAAGAGCCGGACGTCTCCCAGGAGGCCCCGCGACTTCCGCCCTCGCCGCGGACTCGCGAACCACCTGCGCGGCGTGAGACATCACGCGTGCTGCCGCGAGGCCGAAGCTTCCCCACCGCCCATGCCAGCACCAAGCCACATCCTCAGTCAGGGGGAAGTGGTGCCGAGTTCTTCTTTCCGGCTTGGGAAGGTGCAGAGCCCGCCAGCCTGGCTGCTGCTGCCACTGGGCTGTGATGCACAAACACGCGCGTTTCAGACTACACTGATGAGCTTTCTGATGAAATTCACCAGTTAATGCTTTTGACCCAGCTTTTGAACCAGAAGATCTCGAGCCCCGGTCGCACAGGCTGCCGCCATGGCTCAACGCCGCATGAGCCGTGCAGCACAGGCTGCGGCAGTGGTCAGAGTTTTTCCAGAAGCATTGTGGCCTCCGGGGGTTGAAACCAGGCGAAAGCTGAGCCAAAGAAGTCAGAGGCAAGGGTGTCAAAGACTTCAAGTTAGACCCCCATGAGGCATATAGTGAAGCTGGAGCAGCGAAGGAGAAGTTCAGGGACGAAATGATTGGACTCGTGCACTTTTTGTGCGAGTCGAGCCACGGATGATGCATTGGTTTCTGGTGGCCAGGCGGAGCCAGCAAAAGCCAGCGCAGCAGCACCTGCTGTCCCTAAAGCAGTGCACCAGAAGGTGGGGAAGGGATGATCACCAAACCACCAGGCCTTGTGACAGGGGGAGCACTTCTTGTTCATGGACATTTGTGCAGGAAGAAGAGCCTGCGCCAGCTCCGCAGGCCGCTCCTCCAGCGCCGGCGCCGCGCTGAAAAAGCCTCGAACCCGTTCGCCGTCGTTTGCCCCGCCGGTCGACTCCGAGCGTCGTCGATGACGAACGGGTCCAAGGTGCTGTTCGGACCAGCGGAAAGCACTGCCCCGAAGGCGGAGTGGTAGGGAGTGGTGGGGGGGATGATGATGATGTCAGTTTCTTTATTCTTGGTGACTGCTGCTTTGAACACGAAGCCTGAGACCAACTGTCAACATTGAGGGCTTTCATGAAAGTTTCATCCGTGTTTTGGATTGGCCATTGGGGCCCATAAGGGAAGGCTCAGCAAGGGAAGACCATCTTTCATATGGCAGGCCCGCATGCCTCCACCCGCTCCGAAGGCGCGGACACGGACGTGAGAGGCCATGCACTGCACACGTTCACTTACTTGTAGGAAGCGCCGTTCGCTGTATTTTGTGATTGCTCCCTTTGAAGCCCCGTACCCCCATATATGCGCACAGATGTGTGCTTTTTTTGCTCTTGCCACTGTTTATATATGCAACAAATTGCACAATGCATTGCAAATTCAAAGCAGCCAAACAAAGCGCGAGTCCTGTGTGGTGGACGTTTTCTTCCCATCCACCTTGTGGAGATCAGCTGATCCGTCAAGCAGCTCCGAAGAGTGCTTTCATCAACTCAATCGACTCATTGATTCGGATTGTCCGATGATGGAACTTGGAACGCATGAGCAGACACAAGTGACATCGCAGACTGAGATCATCCCACAGACTGAGAGTCCTGCCACCTCTGGTGACACCAGGAAAGAAGAATAAAGAAGAGCCACTTTAGGTGATGAGACATGTCCAGAAACGACATGGAACAGCTAGACTCGACAGGATTTTAACCGAAAACCTATGTCAGGTACATTCCCCAAATCAATGGAAGTGGATGCCATTGGCGCCGAAAGGACCACCATGATCCACCAACAGCTGCTGCTGCTGCCATTCCGTAGCTTCGGTGGTGCCACCGTTGGTTCGATCCGGTCACCCCAAACGGCCCAGGCCAAAGCCAAGGCCTCGACGCCCTTGTCCCCGGAGGTGGCGGGCTTCCGGGACCCCTTCCACCGGCGGAACGGGTTGGCGGGGGTTAACGGCCCTCGGAACGGTGGGAACGGTGCGGTCTGAGGAGTGGAGTCGAGGAGTCGAGTGGCCGAGACATCAGACAGTAGACTCTTGGACGGTAGACTCACAGACCGGACATCATTACAAGGACTCTATGACTGTAGACTCTTGAGGAATGACCCCGCCCAAAAAAGAAAAGGATGTCCCATTCAAAGGAGGGGGGTTTACTAATCAAGAGCCTACATTAGATAGTTTGGAAGAAGGATGGCCGTCAAAAAGCCTGGTGCCAGGCTGCCCTGAAGCTGCGGCGTTCAGTGGTTGGGCCCCGAGTCCGTTGCTACAAGAGAAGTTCTTGCACATTGAGTCGCGGGAGAGTGCAGAGTATCACCACCTCCATGCATTTATCCTACATTGACAACTGGAGATTAGCAGAGGCGCTGCGATACGATTCGCACGTCTCACACCGGCAGGTCGCACAGGTGCAAGATGATGATGTGCAATCCGATGTGAGCGATTTCTGAAATGGGACGGCAATGTCATACTTCGACGCCCGTTCAGCTGGAGCCAGCCGGCCAGCCCTTGTTTCTAAGCCTACGAAGAACCGTGCCACTAGGGCAGAAACAGATGCAGCCTGTCCTCCTTTCCTAGTGTCTCTCGATTGCTTGAAGCATTGGTCCCATCTGAAGTCTCGTTTTGCTCCAGTTTGCTAGCCTGTGAAAGGTTTGAGGGGACATAAGAAGGAGGATTTGATGCCAAAGCGCCCGCTACAAAGCGGGCGGGCACCTTTGGCCTGCCCCCTGCGCAAATGGTGAAGTTCTTGCTTGCTGAATGTCCCAGATCTGATAGAGCTTGCTCACTTGACAGTTGATAGGAGCTTCCGATGCCTTTTTTTGCGCTCTCAGCCATCATTCAGTTATTCCATGGAAAGCATATTTTGGGATGCCATTGTAGGACAAAAACATCATGCAGCTTCTTTGGTAGAAACATGTTCACATACCATCCCCCCCCCACACATTTCCTTGAACGTCATTCCACCAAGCAAGTTGCACGTTCGTTCCTGAGCCCACTCGCTAGCCAACGAGTAAAACTGATCATAAACAACTCATTATATACTCTGTTTTGGCAGGAGCTAGACTCGTTTCTTCAGCAATCACCTTTGTAGAACTTGATACGTGCTCTTAGTTCCTTGAGCCTGGCCCTTCATGGATGTGGCTGGTGTGCCAGCTGCAGTCGCTCCAGTAGTCGGATTGTCACACTTTGCGCCCATCCAGCAAGGCTTGCACGATTACGACTTCTCACGATCCTGACAAAAAACTGGTCTTGCCACCCGGACCGATCCGCAACTCCCCCCAGCTAGGCGCCATTGGAGCTCTGGGGTCTTTGCCGGGAACGGTTTGTGCGCATCCTTTGGACGTGGTGAAAATCCGTTCCCTGGATGCACGGTCCCACATGGCCACGTGCCCTGATAGCCAGCACAGTCTAAGGCTTGCAAACAACAAAAAGTGGAGACTCAGCTGCATTTGACTGGTGGGGATGCTCCAGTCAGGACTCAAGCTTCCTTGCAGGACATGCTACTGAAGGCACTGAGCACGCAAAAGCCTCGGTGCGGCTCGAGGTTCGCTATTGGATGCGGCACGGGGCATTTTCCGGGACCGAGGAGTTCGCGGCTTCTATCGAGGCCGGCACCTGGAAGACTGGGACATGGACTCCTCGTTCTTCGGTTGGGAGTGCAGCACGGGTTTTGCAGCAAGCCACCCTGGTCAGAGGCTTGCTGCCTGCCTTGGAGCAACGCTTCCTCTCGAGGGGGCCCATGTTCTTGGTGTCGGAGGCTGGGAGAGCGTTGAAAACGGCGTGAGACCGCATTCAAGGTAGGATGGCTTGAATTTATGCCCGCGGCTAGGGGGCAGACTCCCCGCACACGTGGCCCTCATTTGAGGGGGGGGCGGGAAAAACCCAGCGTTGCAAGGTGAGCACCCAGGTGGTGGCAGAGCGCGTGCCATGCACGGAGCTGCAAGCACGTGCCTGCGGATCGGCCTTAAGCGGCTATGTCGTAGGACTGAAGTTGTGGGCCCTGGAGTTGTTCCCATTGGGTCCTCTAGCGCCAAGGCCAACAGGTGCCAGTCTACAATGGTTGGGAAAAAACATGTCCGGTACATGAACGGCAGAAACGCCAGCCAAGTGTTCCATCACACGCTTCATGCACATTCTATTTTCTCGCATGCTGAGTAATGATTCTTGTCGCTCCATCCTGCAGGATGCCTGCAGGGGGTGTCAGAGTACCGGAAGAAGCTCTTGAGTCAAGGAGTTGTATTAGCATCTGAAGCGGGCCACTTGGCACTTCACGAGGTTTTTCGGCACATGGCTGTGGGTCCAAACCCGGACCCCGAATCCGTGGTAGGTTGCCCTTGTAGTCTGTTCTGTTCATTTTCGGTGGCCAACCCCCCTTTTTGACCCAAAGGCCACATTGTTATCCTTTTTTAATGTGTGCCTGCTCCGAGAAGTTCTGCCGCTGATAGAGAGTCAGAGGTAGAATCCGTAGAGCCGTAGATTCGTTTTGTCGACTCGCAATTTTCGGGGGTTCCAACAGAGGCTATGTTGCATGCAGACATTGAATTTTTGATGACAGCTGTACATGGTTACACACCAAGACAGCAGGGTGCGGCGCGCACACAGTGGCAGACAGAGAGCCAGTGCTGGCCAGAGAGAGATATGGCGTGAGAGAGAGAGAGAGAGAGAGAGCGAGCGTGCAGGGTGGGGCAACATTTGCTCGCAAGCTTGGGGCGCTGGGCTCTTGCGGAAAGGGCTCCTCCGCCGTATGCATGCGGCAGTGCCTTGGTTCTTGTTGAGGAAAGGGATCCTTCCACTTCCACCCTCCTGAACTCTGTCGCGTGGTGCCCAAGCATTTTTCGCGACTTCCTTCCCTCAGACCGCGAGTTTGATCGTTGAAAGGCGCTTTGCTGCTCCGTCTTCGACAGCACCTTCTTTTGCACTCGCCGGGCCTCCTGGGTGCCGGGTTTTGGGCTGGGCTGCGGGTGGCGCGAGAGGGTTGCAACTAAGGGATGTCGCCAAGTTCAGGGTTGCAGATGGTTGGAACATGCGTCCTGCTTAGACGTCTCATTCCTCACAATGGATCCTCTCCGATGAACACATCGGAAGTGGATGGCGCCTCTTTGGTTTTGCAACATGGAATACCATTGGAAGACCCCCCACAACCGCCAGAGTCAGAGTCCATGTGACCGGAGTCAGAGTGGCATAGATGTCCATTGGTCGCCGGCCCGACAGGCGACTTCCTCACGACGTACTTGGCACCACCGCTGGCCTATGGGATGGCTGCAGCCACTGCAGTTGTGGTGGCATATCCCTTGGACACTGCTGTGTCGAGGAGACCTTGCCTGGCATGCTCAGATAGGGCGACCAGACGATGACGGTGGAAACCCATCGAAGCTGTACAGTGGAGAGGGCTGGTGTTGCCGGACATGGCAAGTGTTTCAAAAGTAGCCACGTTTAGCTTGCAAACAAGTGCGCGCGGACTCAACAGGGGGAATGTTGAAGCCTTTTCAACCTGCAAAGAGATTCAAAGAGATGATTTTGTGCAGTCCAATGGCGGTGCAGGATGCTGATTGTCCCTCCACACAAGCCAGTGGCCTGCATGAGACGCTTGGCCGAGGTCTGCTTTTCCATTTTCTTCTCCGGGCTGCAGTCCGGAAGACGGATAGAGAGAGTTCTGGGATGTTCTCGGTGTGTCCTCGGTGTGTATTCTCGGCACCGTCCCCTGCCTTAAGGACACTATATCTTCCCAGATGCACGTGCCTTCCGAGGCCTGCCTGCTCGCGCAGGTCGGGACCCAGAAACGGCTCCAAAAAGTTCAAAGGTCCAAGTCACGAAAGGTAGCTTGAGCTACCTGAGTTCTCCTTGCTTTAGCAAAAATGTATTACAATCAGGAGTTGGGATTGTGCATTGAATTTGGTCCTGTAAGAGTTGATTCAAATCCCCCCTGCGCCGGTTCACGCCGTCGTGGACTTCTACCAGGGTTACTTGTGATTGCCTGCTACCTTTCGTTCACCCCCTCCTCTCTCAAGTTTCATCACTGCGCCTTTGAAGTACAATTTTCCGATGGTTTCGCCCATGCCTCGACGAGTCTTGCGGACCTTGATCAATCATCCACAAGCTGTACCAAACTCATTTAACGTATGATGTTTGCCGCTGAGGTGAGTTTTTTATTTCCTACGCAGTCACGGGAGTTGTGGATATGCTCTTCCGGCTGAATGCAGGGCCGTGAAACTCGTCCTTCTCTGTGAAAGGAGCTTCCAATCCACTACCGCAGTGTTTTGCAGCGTTAGTTGAATTGGGACCGCCCTTCTAGGAACTTTTGACACTGTGCATGGTGCGCAGTGCAGTCGTGTTTTCCACTCATTTCGTCCTGAAAAGTGGGGCATGTGGGCTGCCACCGCCGCGGCGGATGCAAAAAGTCACGAAGCTGCTTCTAAGGTTTTTGAAGTTTACGCGCGCACACACACACACACACACTAGTGTAGCGTCAATGGCGTTTGGTCAAAAGCATCGAAGAACACGTGCATGAAGCTGGGATGCATTCTCTTGCTGCAGTCATTGACACGTTCAGAACTGGTTTAGAGCAAGTTCAAGCCAGCACGAGCGAGGAGCGCCAAGCGACATGTTGCCATGTTCTGCTTCCCATCTTGTTCCCACTTCTGCTGACCATTTTGGGCACCTTCGCCCAAAACGAAGTTCGAAGCCGAAGTCCACTCGACCTCTGATCTGCCCAAAATCGGCCCCCCCAAAACCGAGCCCATCCGAGCGCGGATGTGCCCATGGCCGCCCTGCCGGAGGCGCGGCCTCCGCGGGCGCGTCCGCGCCGTGCTCTCCAGCGTGGTGAACACCACGTGGGATCGATTTCAAAGGGAAACGTGATGAAACACATGGTGTAAAACAGGTGTGGGTTGCATGGCTTGCATGGATCAGATTGTACCCGGACTCGACCCGTCTAGGTGCAGCCTTTCCTGCGCGCACACCCGCAGGCAGCTTCTACCCAGGCAGTGGGAGGATAGAATCTTTGGGCGGTTGGTTGACAAAATGCCTAAATGGAAACATGTGATATCACATACATGAAATGAATGTCTCAAATCTTGTTCCAAGTTAGACATGGTTGACATGCGTTTTGACATTTTTTGCCTCCTCCATAGGTCTTGAGGAGATCTTTGCCTTGCAAAGCCTCCCAGACAAGCGGGAGTGGTGCGCGCTACCCTTCTCTTGGCGCTTTAGCCTGTGCTTTGTCGACGTCAACATGCGCGAGGCGCTCTTGGCTTCTGCGGGCCAGTGCAAGGAGGTGTAGAAGCCAGGCAGCAGAAACGGAATCCATGGGACAGATCCAGGTTTTGCGTCGATCGCGTTTCGGTTTGGCAAAAGAAGCTTCTCAAGCCTTAGAGCGCTCAGTGATGGCTTCGACGCTTTTGCCACGTCTTCGCTTCGGTTTGGATGCGACGCTGAGGGGTTCGGTCCTGCGCCTCGAGCCAGCACGAGAGCCACGAAACGGATGCTCGGGCAGAAGAAGGCATGCACTCAGACTTCGTCAGAAGACACCGAGAATACAGAGATGGATTTCTGGGCGATGAAGTAGGATTCATGACCATTATATACTATGTCACTATGTTATACCTAATATGTACTTTTATACTGTAGTATATTTACGATTTCAGAATACATGAATGACTGCATATGTACCAACGCCCCCGGGTTTAAAGGCGAAAGGTCATTCAGCTTCTGTTTACCGCAGCTCGGCTCAAACGTCGATGCAGTGGGGCCACACCTCGACGTGTCAGTGCGGGCTGTGTCCTGCACTTTCACGGTTGCTGAGGGTGGTCGCGACCGGCTCTCAGCTCCCGGGATTCGTTCCCTACGGGACGCTGAGAGTCCGGAACGTGTTGGGTGAGCTCCAGGACTACATCGAGGCTCATCCACCACCGGCGGTAAGGGAGGCAGCGGCACGGCCTCCCCCGCCAAAGGCAGCTGGAGAAGCGGCACTTCCACCAGCTGGAGAAGTACGACCAGGTCAGGGCTCTGATACCGGGCGTTCAGAGGAAAAGGCATCGGAAGCAGGGCATCGAGGACCTCCCGCTGGCGAGAAGGCAGAGGCTGAAGGGGAAGTTCGACTTCGTGAGGCATCAAGAGGACGAGATCCAGAGCGTGACCGGAGGATCCGATCGCGGAGTCCCAGGGGTGAAAGAGAAGAGCCCCCACCTGTGAGGCACAAGAGAAGAGACGTGCCACCGGAAGAGGCAAGACGGACTTTGAGCGCCAAGTCAAGGTCCCTACCTCCATCTCCAGGTGATCATCCATCAGAAGAAGGCCAGGGTAGTGTGAAGCGAGAAGAAGAATCAGGCGACAGAGACGATCCAGCAGCAAGTGATACACCGGGAGTACGGGAGATTGCATCAGGCTCTCCTCTCCCTGACGAGGCGGAGGAGGCCCGTCCAGAGGAGGAAAAGAAGAAGAGGCGTCGCAGGAGAAGGCGTCGTGAATCCAAGTCAGAAGGAAGGAGGTCTTCTAGCACTCCCCGAGCTGCAGCAAGCAGGCCATCACCACCTCGCCCAAAGACGCCGCCCAGGCCACCTCCCCATTGGAAGGGACCGGTGACGATCAGGCCGAACAACCCTCTGCTGAGGCGACCGCCACCTCCACCACCTGACCGAGATCATCAAGGGACAAACAAAGGAGTTAAGAAGACTGAGAGGCAGCTGGACTTCAAAGAATTCCTTGAGGTAAAGAAGTATCTCAGGGATAAAGAGCGCAAAGGTCGTTGATGCCTCCCCGCTTACTGGCTAGGCCGGCAGCGGATGGGAGAGCGTTGAGGAGGCGTGCAGGAGTCTTGAGAAGGCCAGCGGCAGCAGCAGAGGTTGAGGAAGGCTTTGAGGAAGAGAGGAGGAGGCCTGCTTTGGACTCTGAGGCTGTCGTTGGATTTGAAGAGGGAGGAGAAGTTGCTGCTCGTGACATCGCTCTTGGCGTGTGGGAGCCAGGATTGCAGGTGCTATGTCGTGGAGTTTATTGGGGCAGAGAGATCCGGCTGGCTGTCAACATCGAAGGGATTCAGTTCGTGAGAGGAGCCCTGGAACTCAATGGGAGGATGTCCGGAACAGAGGACGAGGCCCTCCTGAGGTGGGGCTCCAAAGAGGAGGTCAAGAACAAGGTTCGCTTGCATGTATGCCCCAGCAGCTGTTCGAATGTACCAGAAGCAGATGGTTTGGTACACTTGAAACATGTTCAGAGGCGGGGTCATCACGATCCTGCCTGGGCGGACAATATGAGGAGCTCAGGAGGACTGGAGGAGCTGAAGAGGCTTGCCGACAAGTCAGCAAAGGAAGCTCGTGGAGACAAGAAGAGGGCTCACGACGGCGAGGAGTACACTCCGACGAACCCACCAGAGAAGGACGGCAAGGGGTCATCTTCGAGTTCAGACGAAAAGAAGAAAAAGAAGAAGAAAAGGAAGAAGCGGAAACCGTTCCGTGTCATTGGCAAGAAGGACTACAACCAGCTTTTCCAATCTACGGGGTTGGATCGCGATGTCAAGGTGCGGAAGAAGGTTGCCAAGCTGGCGAGAAAAGCTATGAGAAAGAGGAGCAAGGACAGCAGCGAGGACTCGAGCTCTTCATCTACGAAGGAGGAAGATGGAGAGGACATGGAGACGTTGTTCCAGGAGTCTCAGAAGACTCAGTTGGCCGCAAAGGCTGGACCTGGGTCCCTCACGGCACACGCAGTGAGGCAGATGAGGAGGCAGATGTTGACCACCATGGGCCAAGAGCTGGAGGAGAACAGTCCGATACAGCCGGTGGCCCTTCAATTCTACAGGCAGATCCTCAAGGAGAAGTTGACGCCCATTATGAGCCGCGAGGTGATGAACCTTTGCACGGTGATCGACGCACTATTGGAGGGAAAGGTGGCATTTGCCACCGACGTTGCAATACAGAGGGTGAAGGCCCTAGAGGCCATCAGCAATGGTGCGTCTTGGGCAGTTGCCCAGAGGTACGAACTTTGCCCACCGGATCTCGGACAGATCGCGTCGACGTCAGAAGCAGCAGCTGCAGCAAAAGAGACGAAAGAGGAGGTCAGAGCCAGAGCCCTCCAGAGGGGAGTTTGGGAAACTCCTTGGAGGGGGCAAAAAGGAGAGGGCGAGAAAGGGAAGAGCAAGAAAGGCCAGGAGAAGGGGAAAGGCAAGGGCAGCAAAAGCGATCGAGATCGTCAGAAGGGGGAGAAGACCGACAAGTGAAGCCTGACAATGAAATGGGTGAGGATGAGATCTCTGAAGAGCTCTGGAGATTGATGGATGAAGCCTTCGAAGCGAATGATGCCAAACTACGTTCGATGCCAAAAGTGCCCAAGCATCAGGTAGAAGAGTATGAGCCTGGTGCCGGACTCATGACTGAGTTCACCCGTACAGTGGCTTTCTCTGGGAGTGCCGACCCAGAGGGCCAGACTTCAGACCCGTCCGAAATGGATGCCAAAAAAGAGGACGTTGGGAGTGCGCGCGGCTTCGATTCGTTCGTCGACGATTGGGTTAGGGGGTTGTCCTGTCTTGAACTATGCAAGGCCAAGACCACGGGGGAGCTTTTCCCGCTTCCCTCGGATAACCTCGTTTGTCACCCAAAATTTTCTAATGTCGATGATCGAGTGCGGAAGGTCTGCTGGGGTTTGATGAAGGCCCCGAATCACTTATATGGTTGTGCGCCTCCGGTTTCACTCCGTGTTTCTGAAAACCATGTTCGAGTTTGCATGTTTTTGATGGAAGAGTCAAAAGATTTTTTGAGTCGAGTGCCAGTGCTAAAGAGCCTCAGTTGGTCCGAGTACTTGAAGGTCAGGACCATTGATTACAAAGGCGATGAGGTTCGAACAGCTCAGACTACTTCGTGGGAGAATATCCGAAGCGCTCTCCCTGATGAGGTTGGGAGAGTGCGACTGGAGAGTGTTGTCACCAAGGGCTCTCTTCACTATGTGGAGAACTTCGGAAGCTACCTGCTCCCTGAGGCCAACCGGCGTCACACACGACCTCCACGGGTGATGATTGAGGATTCTCAATGGGAGGCCATGTGTTGTGGTCTCCTTGAGAAAGGCGTGTGTGGACTCATCGGCGAAGACCAGGTTTTTCGCGTGGAAGGTAAGTTGCTGCTAAACGGCCTTTTTGGAGTACCTAAGGACGAAGACGTTAATGGGGTGCCGGTTCACCGCCTCATTATGAATCTGATTCCTTTGAATCGCATATGTCGACCCATGAGCGGAGACATTAGCACCTTACCGGCCTGGCCGTCGATGCACCCTTTTGAGATCGGACCTGAGGAAACACTTCTCGTAAGCTCTGAAGACGTGCGGTGTTTCTTTTATATTTTTGCCGTACCTCAAGAGTGGCATCGGTTCCTTGCCTTCAACAAGGTGGTACCACCTCACCTATGTCCTGACAGGTTACAAAACTACTACTTGTGTGGAAAGGTCTTGCCCATGGGCTTTTGTAACTCCGTGTCATTGGCTCAGCAGGTCCATCGCACCATTGTAGGTGAGGCAGTCCAGGAATGTGTTGCGCAAGGCAGTCGCGTGAGCTGGGAGGCAGAACACCGCAAGGATCGCAGTTTCAGTTGGAGCAATCCTTCGTTTAGAGTCTACCTGGACAACTTCGACTTCCTGGAAAAGGTGGATTCGCGAACGGCTGACAGGATCAGAGGTGATACTCCCACCTTTGTTGAGGCGCTGAGAAATGCCTATGCTAGGCTTCAGGTTCCTCGGCATCCAAAAAAGGCTGTCGCACGGAGCTCCAAAGCGGAGGTGCAGGGAGCGGAGGTTGATGGCGAACATGGTTCAGCCGCACCCAAAGCGGACAAGTTGTCAAAATACCTTCACCTGTGCCACCTGTTGTTGGAGAAGGGTCGCGCTACGCAGAGACAGGTGCAGGTTGTGGCTGGCGGTTTCGTGTACTTTGCCACTTTTCGGAGACCGCTCCTTGGATCTCTGAATGCTGTCTGGAAATTTGTGCAAAGCTTTGAAGGTGGTCCTTTCGTGCAACCGTTGCCGGCGGAGGTGCGTGTTGAGCTGTCGCGTTTCTGCTTGCTGGTGCCCTTGGCGCGCATGGATTTTCGCCTTAGTTTGTCAAGCACGGTGACTGCTTCAGATGCATCCACCTATGGGGGTGGCGTGACGGCTTCGTCGGGATTGACGCAAGTTGGGACAATTGCAGCCAATATGCCCACGCGGGGCAACGTGGTAGAGTTGGAGGACGTTCCGACGGTGCTCACGGTAGGACTTTTCGATGGCATAGCTGGGCTTCGAGTTGCTGCGGACGCCGTTGGTTTTTCGGTAGTCGGGCATGTGTCGGTTGAGTGTCATGAACCTGCCAACAGGGTTGTTGAGAGTCGCTTTCCGGGAACCTTGTTTGTGAAGACTGTGGAGGAGGTCTCATCGGACATGGTCAAATCCTGGGCGTGCCAATTCAGTCAGGTGTCAATGGTCGTTCTGGGCGCTGGTCCACCTTGTCAGGGTGTTTCTGGTTTAAATGCGGACCGCAAAGGCGCACTCAAAGATCTCCGGAGTTGCCTGTTTTGGCATGTGGAGCGTGTAAAGGACCTTCTGTGTGAACACTTCCCGTGGGCTCAGGTGCATCGCTTGATGGAATCGGTCGCCTCCATGGACGTCGAGGACAGGGAGGTGATGAGCAAATCGGTGGGCTCTACACCTTATCTCATTGACGCTGCAGGGGTCACAGGCTGTCGTCGTCCGCGCCTCTACTGGCCGTCATGGGAGATCCTTCAAACTCCCGGTGCACAAATCTCTTCGGTCACGGGAGAAGGCTGGGGACAACTAACTGAAGTTGCCCTCTCAGCCGCCGTTGATGTCGAACAATTCTTGGAACCAGGGTGGACTAAGTGCAGTGACGAGTGTTTTCCAACTTTCACCACCAGCAGGCCTCGGGCGTCCCCGGGGCGCAAGCCAGCGGGGTTGCAACATTGCACTGCTGAAGAAGTTGATCGTTGGCAGGCCGATTCCTATCGTTTCCCTCCGTACCAATATCGGACTCGTTTCTGTCTTCAGGACAAGGATGGCAACCTGCGCACACCAGGGGTTGAAGAAAGAGAGGTACTGATGGGTTTCCCTCGTGGCTACACCTACAACTGCATGTCAAAAGCACACCGTCACGGGGCGGCATGGCGTGATGAAAGGCTGAGCTTGCTTGGCAATTCCTGGTGTGTCTTTGTCATTGCATGGTTGTTGTCGTGTTTGGGCGTGCCACGCGGTTTATGTCCTAAAATGACCATTGCACAGGTGATGCGACAATGTTGTCCTGGAGGTGGAACCTTGTTGCAAGGCTTCTTGTTGCGTCCCTTCATGCGGCCTCCCCGTCACCATGTACAGCCACAAGAAGATCAGTTGGCTCGGAAGCTCACCGGGTTGATCAGCGGTAAGGGAGAGGATCTTCTCCTCCAGGCTCCTTCCGAGGATGTCCAGCGCTACCATCGGTTGAGAATGAGTATTCCAGCAAAGCTGTGGAAGTGGCGTGTCATTTGTGGATGGCGTTGGCAAGGGTCCCCTGAGCATATCAACGTTCTTGAACTGCGTGCTGTGTTGACTGCATTGAAATGGAGGTTTTCAAAGAAGGCTTGGCTGCGGACTCGCTTCCTACACCTAGTTGACTCACAAGTGTGCTTACACGCTCTGGCGCGTGGACGCTCGAGCAGCCGGAAACTTCGGCGCACATTGTTACGCATTGACGCACTCCTGTTGGCATCTGGATCGCACGGCGTATGGACGTATGTCCATACGGACCAGAACCCGGCCGACGCTCCCAGTCGGCGGCCCGTCCGTAAGCGATGGGTAAAGTAGGCAAACTCCATGTAGAAGGATGCTCACAGGAGGAGCGCAAGCGTCGGAGAGCAGAACTAGGTACTTTGCAGTCATTAACAGTACAGAGTCGTACAAGGCAGCGATACAACAAGGCACTTGAGCAATTTTGGTCATTTTTGCGTGAAGAAGGAATCGCTGTTCCGGATAGTTCAGGACCTCTAGATCGTATACTCTGCCTCTATTTGGAACATCTATGGGCCGAAGGCTTCGGGCGTGCCTTGGCTGCGGACACGGTGGCGGCAGTTCAAGACGCACAACCTGACGTTCGTAAACATCTTCCCGCCACATGGCGCCTTCTTAAGGTGTGGAACCAAAATGAGATCCCCAGTCGCGCCCCACCGCTCCCTGAAGAGGCCCTTCACGCTATGGTGGGATATGCCATCTTCAAGAACCAGCTTCATTTTGCCCTATCCCTCCTCGTGGGATACTATGGTGTCCTACGTACGGGAGAAATTTTGGAGCTTAAGTCATCGGATGTGGCCGTGGAGTCTGAACGTGGCCCTGCAGTAATCTCTCTTGGACTGACCAAAGGGGGTCAACGACAAGGCGCCGCAGAAAGCGTGACCATCACATCGGAACAGGTCATCCGCTGGCTTTATCAGTGGATTCATGACTCTGGTCCTCGCACTTTCCTCTGCCCTAAGCCCGCCCAGTGGCGCAAGCTGTTCAATGAGACTCTTGAAGCGTTAGGCTTCAATGACCTTCAATTTAGGCCCTACTCCTTGCGAAGAGGAGGGGCGACATACTGGTTTAGAAAATGGGGCGTGCTCGATAGACTCCTCCTGTACGGTAGGTGGCAGAATGCCAGAACTGCACGTACATATGTCAATGATGGCTTAGCAGCCTTAGCGTCTATGAAGCTACCATGGACTGGCCCCAACCGCAGATTCAAACAAATCTTTTTGAATTCATACCACCAGTCGTTACCCTCGCTTGAGCCCGCTCGCAAAGCGACCAGGGCAGGGGGACGTGGAAAGAAGACCAAGAAGTCGTCCAAAACAGTGAGAGTTGGTGAGAGGGGCAGTTTTCCTTTTCCCTTTTCTTTCTCGAAAAAATAACTGAGGAAACCAAGTGATCTTCACTTTTGAAGGCTATGAGCCTTATTTCTCTCCGGCTTGGCGGAGAGGGTAAGGGTAGCCTTCCTTTGTCTCTGAGCTGACATCTGGACGGCTTGGCGAACAGATGTCGGGGAGACCAGAGAATAAAAGAGAGTTGAGTTGACTTGTGAATTGTTTTAACTTTTGACTAAAATGGCCTTGCATAGCAACAAAACAGAGCGTTTGAATTCTTGAGCCTTTATATATATATATACCATTATCCTCTTGAGGCTCCGGTTGAGGTCTTGCATCTGGCATCGGCCTCCGGGGCCTCGGTCAGGACGTGGTCTTGGTGGGGAGCGGCCTCGGCAGCCTGAGCTGCGCCGCGGTGCTGGCGGCCGCCGGGCGCCACGTCACCGTGTGCGAGTCGCACTACCGGCGCGCGGCTCAGGTGAACTTGCACTGATGGAATTCATCTACGAGATGTGGTGATATTGAACCTCTTACATGTGAGATAAACCATTTATACATCCACTCCCTGGAATGACCATATGGAAGTGGATGGCACCACCTGTTTGGTCTTCGGATTTCATGCTCCTTCGAAATCGGGGCCAGAACTTCCATGATCATTGTAGTGGAGCGTTTTTATTGCAACACTTGCAAGGGAAACTGTCACACAGGCAGCCGTCCGGGGAACATGATGTCGTTTGCCAATTGCGGACTCTTGGAACAAGCCTTGCAGAGTGCCTTGCAGGTTGGGTGGAGCCTGCCACACTTTCACGGCCAAAGTCGCTGGAGCTGGAGACGCTGGCTTTGAGTTGGCGGGTTTTGTCTATCTATATAATAGAAATTGTGTCGTGAGGGATTTGTCAAATAGTGGAGATGAACAGTGGAAACACTTACAAGAACTAGCATGGTGCTCGGTGCTCCCTATGTTGGCGAAGTTCCAGCATGCAGCATGGAGTTTCTTTTTTTCGTCTTCTCTGGCCAAACTGTGATTCGCCCAGGAGTTCCACTTCGAGTCAGGCCCTTCACTGTACAGTGGCCTCAGCCTGGAGGAAAGTCCCTCGCAGCTAAAACACGTCTTCCAGATTGTGGGCAAAGAACCCCAGTGGATCCAATATGACCGTTGCTTGGAGCAGCATAGGTTGAGCCGACCGCGGGTTTTTCGTCGCCTATTTTTGGTGATGGTGACAGTGAAGGTCGCGAAGGTGAATGATTTTTCTGGTTTTGAAAAAGCATGACTCCAGCAACAGCATAGGTTGGAACAATGCACAGAAACCAAGGTTGGAATGCCTTCTTGCCCGAGGGCGAGGTGAATGTAGCGGTTGGATACCAAGAAGTGGTACAGAAGCTGTTACCTGCCTATGGAGGCGGCCGGGCAGTGCCTGACGTGTCGGACGGCAAGCATGTTCCATTTGGAATTGAGAATGCGCTTGACGCAGGCACCGATGCGGTCGCCCAATGGCAGAAGCTCATGTCCGAATTAAAGCCCATGTCCGATGCGCCTCGTCGCACGGCGGAGGGGCGGACATGGGCCTCAAAGCACGTACGTTTGGACAGGGTTCTGGAGTCCCAGTGCGCCAAGGGTGAGTTTGACTATATAACTTCTTTTGTTTTGGGCACTTTCGGTCCCTTTTCTTCAGCTTGTCACAGAGAACTGGATGCAGCACTGACCTTTGGCACTGACATGTCGAGGCTTTGTACAATGCCCCTCCCTTTGGTGCCCTGCGAGATGATTCGTGGGCTGCGGTGACCATGGGCCGATTCTTCCGGCGCCGGACTCAAAAATGCATCTCCATTTGAGAGTGGTTTTCACACGAAATGGCACCAGCTACCCCAAGTTCGGTGGTATACGGTGTGGTTTAAACATGGACTCTGCACTCTGCACCCATGTCAATGTGTCTAAGACATTTTCGGGTGCCATCTACTCCGAAACTGCTGTCATGAATCAATGCTGTGGAGTGACCTGTGTGAACCACGGCATGAGTCATGACATGAAGCGTTTTCTAGTTCTGCTTGTCGGCAGGCGGCTCGGCCCCCTGCTTTTCGATATCCCTGGAGGCTTGGACCCTTGGCTGAACCCGAACCCGGCTTCGATCGCGCTCCGATCGCTCCGCACATGCCACGACTGCAATGACGGACCACCATGACTGCGAGGTGCTGCGCGCTTAAGCCAGCCCTTCGAGGCTCCAGTTGAGTGGCCTGATTTTCGTTTTCAAGTTAAGTTCGCCTGAGAGGACTTCCTGAGGGAGGTTGGAGTCACGGACAGCTTCGTGAAGTGCAGGGCTGAGCATTGGGGATTCTGCTCTGGACGTCCTTGCGCCCACACTGGTGTCCCACCATGTCCCACCGAAATCCGGGTGGGGCGTTTCTGGCTGAGGAACTACCTGAGCCTTTTCAGCTTTTTGCTGCAGGGCCTTCCCAGCTACGGCTCGCCCACCTCCATGATGGCATGGGCCTGAGCCAAACTCGGGGTAGATGGACCCCCCCCCCGCAGTTCGGCATAAGACCAACAGGCTTCGACATATACACATGTCACATGGAAATGAAATGGCTCTTGTGTTCCCACCATAAGACCGGATGTGGTCATTCGATGTCATTCGTAGACTTCTTCCTTGAGCGGCGACAAAGACAAAAAAGGCCTACATGATGGCGGATCTGTATCGCAAGGGTGGGACTTGCTGGGGTCTCAGGGACCAAGTCCGTACCACAACAGAAAAAACACCGCGCCCGCCCTCTGGAAGAGAGTCGAGGCCTCGACTATCCCAAAGGAGGCTCGGAAGCCATCGTTCAGGTCGGCGACTCTTTTTTGGCCAGAAGGCCGATCTTGTTTCTTCTCTTTTTATTTGTACCTTGGATGTGCTGTATAGCCCTTCTTTTACCTTCATTTATCATTCAGTCCCTGTTTAAACTTTCTGTCCTTCTCTCTGGCTTTGCCACTTGGCGTTTTCGCACGCGCACAGAAAAAGAATCGCTTGCTTCGATTCCTTTGGCCCGCCCCAACCATGTGTCCATAGGAGGTGGGACCAGGTAACAGGGAGGAGGCTGGAAGGGGCACTTTCTGGGAGGCCTTGCTTGATGGCATCGAAGAAAAGAGTCCTTCTGCCAAGATTTGGAGCCAGGCGACGCTTTTGAGCATGTCACAGTTTCTGCTGCATCATTCGTGCAGATTCGTTGGAGGGGCCTTGCATGTTGCGGGGTTGAAGTTCTAGCCAAGAGAGGAAGTTGGCCCCTCTAGCTCGCTAGAGCTGGGAGCCTTGCCCATGCCATCCGTTGCAGAATGGTTGACGCTGCATGTGGTTGGATGCTGACTAGCTCTTGTCAGGCGCACGTGGAGGACATTCTGGTCGAGCAGGGCCGTGCAGTTGGTGTGCGTCTCAAGAACGGTGCCACCATACGTGCGCGTGAGGCGGGACGTCTCGAGGTTCGGCGTGCCCATTGGCATGTCGGTTTGGTGCGCCGAACGGGACGGGCGGACGGGCTGTGCTGAGTCGCATGTGTTGAGGCAGTGGTGAGTGGTGCCGACATTGGCGTGACACAGCAGCTGCTGGCCAATGCAGAGGCTCCGGAACTTGAAGGTTTCTTTGAGGCGCGGGGGCGGTGCAAGCAGAAACTAGAAGACAGCAGGAATAGAACTCGAGTCTCTACTCGTAGATGTGAATGCTGCTGCCAAACAAACCTGGCAGCGGTCGTTGTCGTTGTGGCAATGGAATTTGCGGATGTTGAAGGTATCCTTCTAAGACCCTTGTTCCGATGGTGTGGCTGAGAGGAGCAGTGGGGAGAGTTCGAGCCGTTGAACTCCTTCATCCATATCCATTTGGGCTTCCGCGGAGAGGTGCGGCAGGGCCGAACCTTGAGTTGAGCCCTGCGGCGTGCTTTCTTGAATCATGTTGATTCGAAAGGAATCATTCTTGACTCGAAGACGCTCGAGAATGCAGGGAAAAGCGCTGGAAGGTAAAGAGAATTACAGTGGCTTCAGAGTAGATGGCACAAACTCCTTTTTAGATGGGGGTCCATGGGTGTGTGCCTACTCTCAATCCACTATGACAAACACTGGGCTCCCGAACTTTCCGCCAGGGTCTTCCAACCGCACACAGCCCGGAGTTCCCAGCACAGTGGGGCGTGGTGAATGACTGGTCTGACCTGGAGGCAGCCAGGCCGGAGGGTCGGCAATGAACACCTCCTTGTAGCAGTAGCAGTAGCAGTAGTAGTTAGTTGTTGCTGTTGTTGTTGCTGCTCCTATGTCGCACCTTACACCTATGCCGCTATGCCACGCTCCATTGATGGTCCTCACGTGGCGTTCCGAACGCCGGAGTCTCCAAGAGTCCCAACTTGGGAGTCTCAAGGGCCACGAGTCCTGCGCAGGAATGTGGTGCTGGTCAGCGTGCCTTCTTTACTGGACCCTGACTTTGCGCCCAAGGCTGGCGCTTTTTTGGTGCCATTGGTGCTTGTTTTTCCTTTTCGGTCTTCTCGGACCTGAGGGCTCGTGTGAATGAAAGAGTTTCCTCTCGCGGATGATCCCTACGGAGTTGTCCAAGGTGTCGACTCGAAATGGGCATTTCTCCCCTCTCGCGGTGCAGCATTTAGGAAGGTCTCATTTCACCTTCGGATCATCCTTTGCAGGGCTTTCATAGCCTACACGCCTACACGCCAGCGACGGAACGCTGGGCGGACTGGGAGCATTTGGACCGAAGCAGTGCTGAGCATCTCGGCAGAGGGAATGAGTAGCTCAGCAGGGTCAGGCCGCACAGGTCATTATTAGTATTGCTATAGCTGGGTTGGAGAGAAGGTTTTGTGGTCAGCTCCCGGTGAAAACTCCGGGCGGAAGAGCTCGAGAGAGGAAAACCGCATGGATTGAGGTATCGGCAGAAGAAGGCAGAAGCTGCTGACTTCTTGTACCAGGCCATCGAACGGCAGGCGCTGGGAGAAGGTTTGCTCACAGGACTGCGAGCACATGCGTGGGCGCAGGTGTGCTATCTCATCTCTATCACACTATATTATGACTCTCTCTCTCTCTATCTCTCCCTCTCTCTCTCTCTCCTCTCTCTCTTTCCCTTTCTCTCTGTATATATAAATATAATATATATGTATCTATTAATTGTACATGATGTCACTTACTGTTACTGGTATGTTCGTCTGTGTCTTTGGTCTTTGCGCTGGCAGCAGGCTCAATGTCTATCTCTATGTCACCTTGCAGACAACCTGCTTTACCAACAAGAAAGTTTTGGGAGCAGGATTTGAGTGGCCAGGTTCCTGACATCCGCTCGAGGGTGGTCTTCGAGAAGGTGGGCACACCTTTGACACATGCGCCCGGGCGCCTGATGAGGGGTGTGCGCACATATATATACCAGCACCCGACTCTACAGGTCTCCTCAAGGGTTGTTGGGCCCGAACAGGTCTCAATTGGGGACCTGGCAGTGAGGGTGTTGGTAGATTTAGATGAATCGCGCGGTTGTGTGTTGCTTTGCGAAGAGCTTTGTCTCACATGGTGCGCCCCGAGGCGCTTCTTGCGAAAACCAAAGGGAGCCTATGGCTGGCGCGTATCATGGCGAATTCGGTGGCGGATGGTGCTAGGGGGTTGGAGGCATGACTTCGTGGGTGGGCAGCCGCTTTTTTTTAAATCTTTTTTTGGCATTGTGAGCTCAAAGCCGCTTGGAGAGGAGGAATGGGTGTCTAGTGGTGTCTAGTAAGCTATGCTCTTTAGTTCAGCCAGTCGCAGACCCAGTGATTCAGCAAGTCTCAAACTTCACATCGAAGCGACTGGAACACCTTCGGACCCCTTGCAGAAGGTCCCAATCAACTGAACCTGCAAAGCTTTTTCGCCGCATGGCTGGCTTCGCGGCATGGCGCCCATACCGGTGATGGCTCCCTGCACGGGGCGGCAAGCTGCCTCAGAGACTTTCTTGGCCAGGGTTTGGCACCAAGGTGGGCCATGAAGAGCGCAGTTTTTTGAGTTTTTTTTGAGTTTTTTGGATGTATAGTCAGTTTCAGAGACCTGCCATTGGGAGCATGTATACCGGCATTTCTGTACGTCAAGACCATGGTGAGAGCGTACATGTTTTCCACGCACTTAGCAAGTCAAGACTGCAGCCTAACACCGGCAAAAAAACTAAAACGAACGAATTGATTCATATAGACGGAGATTGATGATCAGTTGATGCGATTCGCGATGGTGCTTTTCATGGTCCACCACAGTGTCAAGACCTATGGCTCAACAAACTAGCCAAGGCTCCAAAAGAGCCCAACGTAGGACTTTTTGCGGACAAGACAGTGGTGAAAGGAATTGATGTGTGCCTAAACGCCAGCTTGGTTCCAAGACTAAAGCCAAAAACAACTACTGTATCTAAATCGCCAAAAGCACCCCGGACAAGACAGCAGGCACAACGATTGTTGAAAGCTTTCAATCAAGAAAGGCTGGCACCCAAGAAATGAGTGGGAAGCACGCTCCAAGTCAGGGCTTTCCCCACAGTCATTGCACGTACTTATTTTCTGAAGCTAGTGCGTGATCCAGTGTCAAGACAACAGGCCAAAGATCACATTTGGCCTGCAAGCCAGGTTTTCCACCTTGTCATGCTGGCATGGTCAAGAAGAAATGGCAGGTGCCAACTTATAGGTGACTGTGCTGTTTCCTGAATGTCAAGACTGGGGAAAGCAATGGCCGAAGCCACTTCGGCAGTACTTCGACCAATGTCAATCAAGACTATGGAACCGACTGTGCCCACTCCAATGTAGCTATTAACATGTTATCTGATTACATATATACCTGGAAATTGCCTTTGCGGCATCGCGTGGGGAAAAAAGCACATGACAAGATCTGATAAGATCAGATACCCTCATCCCCACCCACCACATAATCACCCACCACATAATTACAGTATCTTATACTGCCATATATATGATCTGTGGGGACGTACGCCGCTCCGATGCGACGCCGCTCAAATTCCCAGGTTGGATCCCGAGTCTCTGGGAGCTTCCAGATCTGCGAAGCCTCACAGGCGACAAAGACCACGAGTGTCTAGGTGGTTGGTCGCACAGCCTTTGTATGACTTAGCTGCTATAGCATCCGCCCAAAGGGCTCAGATGGAACACAAGTAGAAGCTGGTAGAAAACGTGGTGAATGGGGTGCTCTTTTTTCCTCCTGTGCTCCCCAGGTGATGCAAAAGACTGCCCAAAGCAGTGGCCTACATGGAAATTCCTTCTGCCCTTTGCTGAGCTCTCAAGGGTAGGATGGAATGCCACAAGTTCCCACTCTTTGCAAGGCCTTTTGCCGAGGATCTTCTGGGCATATGATCAGTTTCTGGGCCTTCATGAAGGTTGGGAACTCTGGGCCATGCCCTTGGGACTTCTGCTTCGCTCCGTGTGGTTGAGTGTGGCTCCGCAACAGTGGCTGATCCAGTCGCAGTGCGCGTGCCGCGACACGCCCGAGACCAATTCCATCCTGTTTGACGCCTTTGACGAGCTTCGCGCCGGCCGACGCGAGAGCCTGGGGATTTTCCAGTGTGATGCGTTGCGGCATGAGCCAGACTATTCCGATTGGAGCAACTTCATGGATTTGATCCTGGAGCCTCATCCGATGCGCTGCGTTCCCTTGGATATTCTGTTGCGATGCGCCTGCGCGCTGCGCGCCTCACGGAACCAGGAGATGGCCAAAGCCCGTCAACTCCTGGATGCAGCAGTGAGGCTACTGGCTCTGGCGTTGGATAGCTGCAGTTGTCTTCAGCATGTTCTCCCGGATTTCTAGGCCTTGCCAGATACTGGCACCATTTCTGACACTTTATCATCCCAAGCAACCTTCCGCAGTCTCAAAGTCAAAAAGCAATCAAGAATCTTACTGAAACATGGTCCGGTAGCATATGTACCATCAACCCCCATCATTTTTCCATTCTTGCTTGGCCTTGTAACACCACCTTCGATCTTCAGCTCCACCTCTGAGGATTGTTTCGACCACAGCCCCTGGACCTCGTCTTCCGGGCCGGGAGCTCTTCCACCGGTGACGGCCATGGAGGTCTTCCGCAACTGGGCTCGTCGCCCCAGCGAGGAGGCCTCCACCTGGGCCTGGGAGACGGCGGCGCCGGAGGCATCGCCGCGGCCGCCCGCGCTCGGCCGCGCGGGTGTCGGCGGCCGCCTGTGCCGCGCGGAGCTGGGCGCTGCTTGCGTGGACGTGCGAAGGGCAGAGGTTCTGGTGAAAGGTCCGGGACTGACCAGAAAGCAAGACAACCCATTGGGGGGCAGGGTGTTGGAGGGTTTTTCTGTAAGCTGCCTGAAAAGACCCGGCCACTTGTCTGTGTGGGTTCATGAAAGACCTGTGAAGGTGCAGCGTCTAGTGGATATCTCCACCAATGCGGTGACAGCTACGGGGAGTGGCGCCGCATTCGAACGCAACCAGCAGGGCGAATGCCTCCCGGACGTGGGCGTGGTCGTGCATGGATTCTTTACGTCTCCCCCTTGGCCATGTCCAATCTCTGGCATTTGTTGCACATTTTGCTGCCTGCGCTGCATGCTGAGCACGACTTTGATGAGCTTCTGATTGATGGCCTTCACCATGCCGATGGAGGGGCAGAGTGGGCAGAGTGGTCGTGGCAGAAGTTGCGCAGCAGCTTCGCTTGGCCATTCCTCCAGAGCCTTGCGGGCCCCAAGGAGCTCGTCTTGCTGGGCGCCGGCGGCGGCTCGGATGAGGCGCCCTGGCGCTGCTACGAACGAGTCGACTGGGGTTACGAAGCCGTCGCCCTCTTTGGGCGCCATAAGGGGCATCTCAGCACTTCTTCGATCCGCCGCGCGGTGCAGCAGCTAGAGAGGTCCTCCTCTTTTGGTGGGCCTGTGGAGCCGTCCGTGCCGCGAACTCCACGTTTGTTGCTCATTGAGCGCCCCCCACCAGCTCGAAGGGCGGTGGTGAACGGCGAGGCTCTGAGGGATTTGCTCCGGTCGAGCAGTTGGTGCAAACATTTGATGTCTGAATGGGCAGATTTTGCCGAAGAGCCTTTGAGATCAGATGTGAGGGGGCAGTGGAAGTTGGCGTCTCAGGCGAATATTTTGATGGGTGCCCATGGCGCGGGACTGGCATGGTCTGCGTTTATGCATGCTGGAAGCATTTTGGTTGAGCTGCTGCCTTTCCTGCATGTCCTGCACGATCAGCTCTGTCGAGTTGGCGATGGAGAAGATGGTGCAGCATGGGACAGCACGCCAATGTACGCCTATGGTGGCCTGGCCCTGCTGACGGGGCTTCACCATGTTTGCATTTTGGGTCTTCCCATGCCGGGCCAGCAGTCGGGGTCGCTGGGCCATGATCTAGCGACGTGGTGGTCATCGGATATTTATGTAGATACTGCTGCAGTGAACCGCACCTTGGTGCGAGCTCTCAATCGCTTGAGCCGATCGCGGACAGACCGAAAGGCCGCCAGAAGAGTCAGGGTTTTTCCAGGGTTTGCTGGTGCATGAGGTCGCTCCAGTTTCCACGTGCTTGACCATGAGTGCCATTCCGGCGAGGCCACCAGCTTAAAGGGAGATAGAAATGGAATGGTATGGTGAAATGGTGTGACATGACAGGTACGACCATCAGATACCAATGCTGCCGAGCTTCTTCCTACCACTGCTGCAGGTTTGTAGGAACGGAAGGGCGTTGTTATGTTTTGATATGTTTTGTTGAGTCGCGCAGCTGCTGCCGAGGTGTTGGCTGGCTCCAATTTACCAAGTCATAAGACACCGCTCGCAGGACTGGAAATGGAGTGCAGAGTACGGGCTGTTTCTGCAAGAAGCGTGGGGCGGCGCTTTCTTCATGCCATTGTGAATGAGCAATGTAGGCTCTTGATGAATAACCTCCCCCAAGTTGAATTGAAACACCTTTTCATATGGGGGGGTTATATATGTACTTCAAGAGTCAACATACTGTATTTTTGTCTACATCATGTTGCCTAGAAATGGACATGTTTGCCACTAGGCCTGCATCTCTGCGGAGACTCCACCTATCCGGGCATTGGTGTGCCATCAGCTGCCATGAGTGGCCACATTTGTGCCTGGGATGGCAGGAATTGATAGGAATTGCATCTTGGGGACCCACCCGGACGGGAGAAAGCTATTGAAAGGATTTGAAAGGTAGTCTTCCTTAAGCACCGGCCGTTTGGGCCTTCCAGAATGCTGCCATCCGGAGCTCCGTCCGACGCCGAACGCCTCCGTCCATTCTCACTCCCCAGGTGCCAACAACATCCTCTCGGTGACGGAGCACTGGTCCTTGCTGGACCGGATCCGTGAGTGGCACTATGAGCTCGACATGTGATCACGGACATCCCAAAGTCGCCTAGCACGCCGCGGCCGCGCGCCCTTTGCGCTTTGCGCGACGTGCCGGGTGGGTGGGTTGCTGCATTGGCCACATCGCGTTCTTTATTTTTGGGGGGGCGAATCGTGCAAGCCGAAGATGGATGTGTAATGAAGGTGGGATGTTGGCGTTGCACGGTCCGTTGTGTGAATTTGGCTCCAGGCGTAGAGAATCATGAAACACAAGGGTGCAGATGTTTGCCAGGCAAAATGCTACAATTTTTGCCCCAATGGAAGGCATATCTGTCGCATACCTGAGCACATGCGCCAAGCATGCACAGATCGATACTTGGACTTTGTGGATCCTTGAGTGCATGCCAAATCTCACCCGGCCTGTGCGCAGACATGTTGGGGGGCCCTGGTGGCCTTTGGCCAAAATGGACTAACACAGCGCCCGTGAAGCACCTAGTACATGACGTATATAAGCTTTGTATGGATTTATGCGAAGGTGCCGAATTGTGTTGAGTTTCACGGCCTGCTTGTCAGGTAGTGAAACGTGACACTCAAGGCTTCACTTCCCTGCCTTGAGGTCTTGCCTTGGTTTTGCCTTAGCCTCCTCGCGCTTGGTCGGCCGAGGGTCCTTGGAGGCGGGGACGGCTGGGACGACGCAGTCGGTGGGCACCGGGTGACTGCCAGGTGGGGCACAATGCGCCGAACCAATGGCGGCTAGAGAAAAGTGATGCGCAGACCTCAGGGTGGGTCATGAACATACATACACGTCGATAGTCGCGGAACCACATGTGTTCATTTGATTTCCTTTGATTTCCTGAGGTAGAGATCCGAAAAGAAGCGCAGAAGAGGGCCAAGGAGAGAATTCCCGGACGTCCAGTGGTTTTCTTGGACATTGAGGCCCGGAGCATTTGCATCGGAACATTTGACCAGTGAGAATGGATTCATCCGGCTTTTTGGGATGCCGTTTACGCCGTTTCTTTTTCCTCGCTCGCTCGAACATCACATCTGAGTCTGCTGCTCACGTCTGTGGGGAAGACAAGGAGGCGGTCCAAGGAGACTGAGCTCGTGCGATTCTGCCAGGTGGCCGGTCATCCAGCAGCCAGGGTGGTGTGCGAGAGACTGAGCTTGGTGTGCGAGAGAGGTGCCACGGACACGCATTTGGATCCGTCCATTGATGCCAATTGGGCTTTGGGGTGACCTGGTCAACCTTCATAGGATTTGACACCTGGTTCCTTCAAGGCATCCATCCCCAATAGGTTCCCATAACAATATATAGCCATAGATTCGGTCCTAGGTGGTTTTCGCCTCAGTGAGGTGAGCTTTTCTCAGACTTGGTCCCCAAGACCGCGGAGAACTTCCGCTGCCTTTGCACGGGCGAGAAGGGCTACAGCACGTGTGGGAACTCAGTTGTTAGGGCTACAGCACGTTTTGAAGTCCTTCCTCCAGTCAGCCACTCACAGTCGCGAGTCTCTGCTCTGTCGAATGCTTGAACGTCTGACACTGCTTCGCACGTCTGACTTCGCCTGGGGCGACCGACTCGGACCGACTTGGCGGCGATGAGTCCGGACGACGGCGGCCGTTGCCTTCGTGTGTTCGGAGACCGCGGTGTGGGCTGGTTTCCAGGGCTGGAAAGCCGCTGCACCTCAAGGGAAATGCCTTCCACAGGGTCGGCGGCTTGGAGCGACGCGGAGCGAAAAAGAGCAACAGACTGCAACTTCCTCAGATGGCAAGACCTTCAAGACTTTCTGTTTGGGTTTGGCCCATTGGTTTTGGAAGCAGGTGCTTAATCCAAGGGCTTTTTGAGCTCTTTGGTGGGTTTGCCAGAGCTTCCTGCAGCCTGAAAACATCCGACTGGGGAGCATTCATCATTGGTGTTGCCGACGGACTCAGGTGGTTCCAGGCTTCGCAGTGCAGGGTCGGCAGCCGAGAGCGAGCGACCGGAGAACGAGCGAGCGAGTGGGTTGAGAGCGAGCGAGTGGGTTGAGCCAATCGAGCACTCCACTGGTCAGAGGTGGTGACATTACCAGGGGAGATGGCACTGGTGGAGAATCTGCAAGGGCCTCAAAGAACATTGGCACATGAAGATGATTGTATAATGTTGTTTTGGCGGAGTCTTGCTGGCAGGAACTAAGGTTCCGTTTAAATCAGGGTTTAGTTGGGCATAAGGCACCCCGCAGGCAAGGCAATCAAGATGGTGCAGTCGTCAGGTCAGCTAGTAGCTGTCATCGTCAATCCATCCGATGTCTGTTTCGGCCTTGGGAGCCACTCGGACTCTCCTCGCCCCGAGGTCTACGGCGGCACCTTCGAGGATGAGAGCTTCGACTTGTCCCATGACGCTCCAGGCCCACGGTGCCCGGTCTGGCGGGAGAGAGGGATGGGTTCACAAGCGTCATGTTTTGAAGAGGTTTTGCAATCTCCAAATGGCCCGTCCAAATGCCTGCAACAGTCAGTTTTCACAAGCAAATCGCTGTTTTTGAAGAAGGTCTTTACTAACCGTCATCATCCACTGGGCCCTGGTAATGGGATGGACCCAAAGTCTACATCGGAAATGAAGAGAGGCGTGCCTCACACCGGGCTGGCTCCGCCAGGCTTGCTGAGCATGGCCAACCGGGGTCCCAATACGAACAGTTGCCGGCCCAAGCGGAGGAGACATGTTTGTGGCACTGGATTATTGGCAAAAAAATGGAACAGGAATTTCATGGAATTTCTACCTCACTTGTTGCTAAAAAGACTTGCACATTCATCCTAGAGTGGTTCTGTAAAGAGCCTTTCTATCTCAAGTTCCTTGTTTGGTTTTCATGCTTTTTTAAGTTGGACCTTTGCGTGAAGTGTTCTATGTCGAATTCCCATTTGAATTCTGGATCTTCATGGTGTGGGTCTCGAGTAGATATTGGAGTCACGGTAAACCGTGACGAGTTGTTGCAGCTGGGTGGTTACGCCATGCGCTTCCCGCATGACTCGCACGTCGCACGAAATCCAAACGTTTCCTTCGCTGAGCGAAGCCCCGGCAAGACATATGAGCCACATCATCAACCCACTGACGATGCCATACGCATCGCGCATCCCTCGACGCCATACGCATTCGCTGAGATTCTCAGTTCTTCATCCTCACAAAGGCGCGAACATCTCGGGGTTTCCATTTTCTCGCTGGAGGAGGCTTAAGAACACTTGCCCTTATAGGAGTGTCTTGGATCTTTGAAAACCTTCACACTCCAAACCTGCAGCTGTTTTTCTTTAAACGGCATCTTTGGAAACTGAAGCATTTTTCGGCGCTCGTTTGAATGGACCATTAGAATCCATTGGAGAGAGTTCAGAATCCTCTTCCGGACCAATCATGATGATCACGATGTCAAGGAAGAACCCTCTATTTCAATTCAGCAAGTGCCGGCCCTTCCGCGAGGCGTGTCCCAAGCTAGATCTGAAACACGTCATTTTTGGGCGTGTCCTCGAGGGCATGAGCACGATTCGACGCCGTGCCCTTAAGAAAAACGGTGGACGATGCGGTCGAAGGAGGTGGAAAGTGTAGAAGACGGCCGAGAAACACTTACTTTCTTGCCTTCCAGTGAGAGAGTGAGGGAGAGTGTGTGTGGTCTAGGGACATATGCCCCTACGTCCAGGGTAAAGTGAGATAAAGATCCATGAAGTTGAGGCATTGAGGAGGTGTGTGGCACAGCTGACGCCGGCTCTGAGCTCTGTGAGAACCTCAGTGATGACGCGGGACTTCAGAAAAGTGAATGAGAGAGAAGCAGAGGGGAGCAGAGTCTAGCAATTTCAACGCGTTTCTCTAGAATAGATGACACAAGCGCCCAAAAATGTCTTAGACAGATGGGTCCATTTTCCAACCATCGAACTCGAGGTATCTCGTGCCATCTACTCCCAAATTACGGTATTTGCTTCGTCCTGAATCCACTCAGTCCTTGATCCAGGCCGTGCGCAAAAACATCATGGTGTGCTTGCCTTTCGGTCGCGGCCTTAAATGGCGTGCTTGCCACCTGGTGGCTTTGCAAAAAGCCCCCCCTTTGAACTTTTGGCACCGAAAACAGTGGCTTCCTGGGTCGATTTTGATGCATAGCAGGGCAGGTTAGGCTCATCTGAGGGTTGTGGAGTCACAGATTGCCCCCGATCCATCGAGGCCCGGCTTGGGGGACGCCAAGTCTGTGATCGTCGACTGCGGGGTGCTGGCGCGCGCGGGTTTTGCCGGATGGGCGGATGCGCAGATCGGCACGCGCAGATCGGCACGAGTAGCGCGGAGCACAAGATGAGAGGATGACATCATGTCATATGACATGTGGTCACATGTGTGTTACCCGGTGCCTGTTTATGCCTATGCCATTAACCTTTGGCATGACCGTTCTTCATGTAGGCTCGAGAGGTGAGGGTTGAAATGTACCGAACCACACGCGCGAGACTTCCGCCAGGATGACGAGGAGAAGCCTCGCGACAGCAAGCGGAGCAAGACTGGCCCATCCGAGGCGCCAGGGAGCTTGACAGAGGTGAACGGGTATTATTGTAGCCGATGGTTGCAGCTGATGGCCGATGGCCTTCTCTGTCATTCCAGGGTTGCCAGGTGTTCCAGATGTTTGCAGAAGGAACAAGGCATGCTCGCTGCGAAACGCATTGGTCGGTCGCGGGGATGTTTGGGACATTTGTGGTTCAGAGTGATGGTTCAAGGTTCAAACCATTGCTGGTCCACCGTCTTGCCAGGCGCACTTGTTCCACATCCTCAAGAAGTACAAGGGGGCCAGGAAAGCAGAGACTTGGAAAGGGGGTGAGATCACCCTCACCAAGGGCAAGGTGCGCGACTCCGACTGGGCTCACGTCATCCATTGGCGATTTGAAGCGAGGAGACCGAGGCCCCAAGGCGTCCTTCGCCCCGTCCTTTGCGCGTCAGGGCATCCTTCATGTTGACTAAATATACCGACAGCTTCCAAAAAACGAGCGCCTTACCCAAGAAGAACATGATCAGTCATCAACCACTTGGTCCCCTTTTGGTCCCCTCAAATGCTTGAACTCTCGTCCCCGGAAGATGGTGTACCGCGCTCCTCAATAAAACAGATAGCGGCATGGTTTTCAAGACGTTGAAAGGGATCATGCTTATACATCTTATACTTGTCTATCCGACTTGATTATCATATTTGGGGCCTATATATGCCTATATACCATTGTGATGATACCCATTATGACTTGTTAAAAAATTAAATTAAACATAATTAAACCATATACCTGACTCCAACGGTCCCGCCAGGCCAAGTTGGTGGTCGAGAACCTCCGCAAGCGGCTCATCGCCTCGACGACCTTGGAGTTCGGGATCCGAGCGATCGAAGCGAGCTGAGCCATCCGATCGAAGGGAGTGAATAGACGATGGAGTTGCTCACGATTAAGAGGAAGCTTCCATGGGAGTTGCTCATCCAAGGGAGTTGCTTCCAAACCTTGGAAGCTTCGATCAAGAGGTTGAACTTCCATGCCATGACGCACACTTCCCGGATGTAACTAGCACAAAGGTGAAGCAAGGGAGCTGGGCTCATGGGTTTTGTGGCAAGCATTTGCTTGAATGGATCACGCCGGAGGGGTCAGCCAGAGCAGAGGGCCTTGCCCGGAGTGCTTTCCGGGCCTCAGAACTCATTTTGCCAGGCTTCTATTCGTGGAGCTTGCCCGGGATCATTCGGATGATCCCACTTGCAAGAATGGCAGGGGTTCTCAGGCTTCTAGTGAAAATGAGTGTCCTAGCTTGGACTCGGAGATTTTTCTGCAACTTTTTCATGGAACAGCGCTGGAATCCTGCGGAAGTCCTCACAGTCACAGCATTTTCCAGCCTACCAGCAGGGTGTAAACCCGTTCAACGATGTGCCCCGCGTTTCTGCGGTAAGGTGGAGACCTAGGAGAGGTGGAGCGTGGAAGCCTACAACCCAAAGTCGAGGAGGGGCCAGACTGCGGCCCAGACTGCTGCTGGCAGATCTGGGGGGGGGCGGCGGGGCCTTTGGAAACACATAGGATATCACATAGGATAACCATTCACCAACGTGGGGAAGTTGTCATGCACCTCCATGGACCCTGTCCTCCTTAGCAAGAAGGTGATGCAAAACAACCCTTCCCATGTTCGTCAGGATTTTTTCGCTTCGACTCGACCTGACTTTGGTATCTTTGGGCAACCTGACACCCAGAATCTCGACTCGACACTTTCTCCCAGTCGGATGAGACCGGAAGACGCAGCCGCCGAAGAAGGATAAGCTGTCTGAGCGGTTTCAGCGGTTTCCGGATTCGACCAACCTGCAACACCTGGAGAATTCACACGCAAAGCTCGCAGCTCGCTCGTGCAGGAGGTGGGCTTTGCTTTGCAGCCAAAGGAGCTTTCCGAGGTCCGAGGGACCAGAACTAGACCGAATCTGGATGAGGGATGAATGTTCCAGGTTCTAAGCAGGTGCGTTCATGCGGTTTTCACCAGGAATCGAAGATGAAGACCTGCCATTCCTTGACCTGTGCACATTTCACTTCAGTTGAAGAGTTGACAGGTTCCGTTGCAGCTTGACTCCTTCTCTTCATTTTGAAGAGCCCAGGTCTTTGAGGATGAGTTTGGGGTGCACTTATTGTACCGCACATGACTCAGAGAGCGTTTTTACGTGTGTCTCATGGATTTTTTGGGTGCCTTATTGTTTAGCTGGCCAGCTGCTACCACGGCATCTGTCAGAGCTCACATTAAGACAGGAAGTCACAAAGAAAACAATGGAAAGAACTGTTTGGGACTCTGGGGAGTTTCTGATTTTGCGTGCAATCTTGATAAACCCTTCTGAATGTAGATCCCTAGGCTCCGGCTAATGCTTGGGCTCAGTGGAAAAAGGGGCCGAAGCTGGGCGGGCAGCATGGCACGGACCAGTCTTGCTCTTTTATACTTTGGTAAGATCCACTTCATTGGATTATCAGTTGTCTCAAAAGCTGACCAGTCGCCCTTTGGGACCAGAAGTGGCCAATCAGAAGGGCAAGACGGGCATGGGCCCAGTGACCTGAACCGCCGAGCCGAACCGCCTGAAGCGCCGGAGCCGAACCGCCTGAACCGCCGGTTCCTGTGCTTGGCTCAGACGAGGGAAGGGGGGGGGTACGAGTGGCCAATGACCGCCGCTTCGAGTACTGTGACACCCCAATCCGTCTAGCGTCTCTCATGAGCGTTGCTCCAGCCGGGGGGCTGAGTTCTGCCAAGAGGACTACGAGGACTCAACAGGTGGCTGGAGGACGTCTGGCCAGTGCAGACATGACCTGCAAGTCTGGCCAGTGTCTAGTAAGGCTCTTTGACTCTGGTGACCTGAGCGATGACCGAACTCACAGAAAACCCACTTCCCGAGCTCTTTGACGTCGCATCAAGGCAGAGAACTTCCCTTCTGAAGGCGGCGATCGAGGCAGAGAACTGAATCCTCCTGCGGAACAGTCACTTCTGCCTTGTTTCCTGAGCAGAGATGTCAGGATGTCAAATATCTTATATAAATGTCACTGTGACACCTACTTCTCTGTTGCGTTCTAAGGGCGTGCTTTGAAAGGATTCCTGAGCCTTCCGAGGGCACGATCCTCCACTTCACATAAAGACTTCCATCACGATTCCTGATAAGAACAGGACAGGGGACGCGAGGGTGGTGAGACGCGTGAAAGACCTGCGGGCTGAAGATCATGTATGTACAATGCAGGGTGCGGTGCCACAACAGTTCTTTGACACACGAGCCAAGCATCTTGAAACGTGCGATTGGGGAGGAGGGTGGATATGGGGAGGGGGAGGGGTGTTGTTCTCATTGGTGCACTTGGCAGGAGACGCTCTGACAGAGGCTGGTGAGAGGGTCTCCGCATGCTGCATGCCCCATTCAAGCAATGGACAACATATTTTCTCTACAGTATGAGACGGCAGGGGGCCCGGGCCGTAGAGGGGGCGATTGTATATCAGGTTCCATGAGATGCCACAAGCATTTGAGCACAACATTGCTTCTGCGTTTCCATCCAGATGAGAATGGCATGGTAGCATGACTGTCCTTTTAGAGGCAGACCAGGCCTGGCCTCAGCCTTCAATATATATATATATGATATAGATTTCCTGCAGAAAAAAGGCATGTGAGACACGTACAGTTTGAAGCGCTTTGGGCATGTTTTCAGCATACAAATTTTTATTCTTCGAGACGAGGAGCACTTGACACCTGCTCCGCATGCTCCTCCAGGTGTCCTCATCCTTTATCCGGAGAAGAAGGAAGAGGCGAGGTTGCGAGGCTTTGTTGATACGAATTTGTGATGAGCACCCAGCATCCTGCACATGATAGCGAAGGTTCCCGCCGTCTGAGCGTCCGAAAGCCTTTGCCCCGAACTTGCTGCCAGATCCAGGGGCCTTTCAGAAGCCAGACACCCCGTCGGCAAGATCCCTTTTCTCACAAGCCCACTCTGGCAATGCGGAGAAAGCTTTGCCCTAAAACAGAACTGTCACCATCCCGTGCCAGACTGCTTTCAAGCAAGCTCTTATCGCTTGGTCCAACAGACTGAGGCCGTGGGGGAATGGTTGAAATCTGGTCCATGGTCCATGCAATGTAAATGGAGGACTTGCACAGGTTCAATCATGCTTTGGCCCCCATGAAATGGCATGTAGAGAACATAGTTAACATTGTTATAGTTAACAGTTAACATAGTTCAATCGGGTTCAATTTGAGAACAGGTCTTGTGGAGTGTGTGGAAAAAAGGAACTGTCCGTTGTGGAAGGCCGCTCTTGGAAAGCTTTGCCTTTCGAGTGACCTTGGTGGCATGTCTCATCTTCGCGCTCTTTGGAGGCGGATTGTAGCACGGCAGCAAGCAGGACCACAGTTTGCCAGGATGGATGCATGTCGATGGTATGAATTCGACTCTATAACCATCATCATGCTTAGAGGATATGTAAGTCCATTTGTTCACTGTGCTACAGGGGGGGCTGCCTTCCGCAAGTAAAACAGAGACTAGCAACAAGGGATTGGGTTGACTGGCACCTTCGAAACCTACTCTGTTCAGCAAAGTCCAGGCGCCATCACAAGAACGATCATATTTATGCATCAACGATTTGCAGTGCGAGGCGGCATGTGTTTTATAATAAGAAACGCCAGCTGGAAGAGCTTGGTTCCATGGAGCGAGAGCTTGCGTGCTGGTTCACGCCGCACGCCTGAGGTTTGTGATCATGGACATCCCTGATGATCCTGGGATTCCCATCCTCGACACATTGATGATTATTGTGATGATCCTCTTTGTGCTTGAGATGATCATCAACGGCATTGTTGATTACAAGACCTACCCATGGTCACCTGCACAGTGTGGGAGGGGTTGACAGGGGTGGCAAGGGGTGGCAGGGTGGGGAGAGTTTTCCTTTCAATCTCAGCCTTTGATGCGTAATGATGTGGCCTGCATGTGCCTGCATTTCACTGGCTGAGCACGGAACACGTGTTCAACTTTCCATCTTTTTGGCATGCGTACTTAATTCTTTGGCCCTGTTCCACGCCCCTCGCTTGATTCTGGATGGTCTTTGCATATGGATGCTAAGCGAGCCCATGTCCGGTATTGATACTTGAAAGAGGGGCTGCCAAGGTCCTTCTTCTTCATCATGGACGGTGTGGGCACCGTTTCGATGATCTTCGAGATCTCCACCCTGCTGGGAACTGGTGGGAAGATGCAAGTTGCCACCGGGTCAGTCGATGCGATGCTTATTCGCACTGCACGAGCAGCAAAGGCCGGGACGATTGGAAGACGATCCCCCGCGGATCCTGAAAACCACGTCGGTTGGCCGAGTAAACACATCGGATCCAGGGGCCCAGGACGTCAGGGTCTATGTTGAGTTTCCGGGAGGGTCAGCTCCCTTGACCAATGTAAAATCATGATGAAATCCATGCTCCCCAGATCTTCACTTCTCAGATCTTAGAGTTTCGTCAGGTAGGAGCGCGAGTCGGCCGTTTGTCGAAGCTTATGAAGTGCATCAGCTACTACCTGAAGGCGTTCTGCAGGGTTCTGCAGGGTTCTGTTAGAGGGATGTAGCCTGGAGCCTTGAGCTAGAGCAGATTCGGAATCTCTACGTCGTAGAAGCATGCGATCTTTGCACTTGAAAAGGAGCCAGACATCTTCCATCATTTACCAGAATTTTCGATGCCAGAGAAAGTCGGCAGATCCAATCTGGCAGGACAAGGACAAGAGGCTTGAAGAGCAGTGGTCCTCAGAACAGTCGAAGCGATTCCATCCATGACATGGATCGGAGCGTGGGCCGCTGACGGGTTTACGGATAGCGGCGGATAGCAAGAACGTCAAGGCCTAGGGGGCCTTAGCCTCAACCAATCCTTGCAAAAAGACGAACGAGCCACTAGAATCACTAGACCGCCGCTTTCAACCCAAACGCTCGGTCGACAGGTCTCATCACCTGCCCTTCGACCAACCGATCCGCAGCCGCCACCTTCGGCGGCCCCGCCAACCGATCCGCAGCAGCGCCCTCTGAGGTCGGCAAACCCGGCCGAGGCCAAGAAGCTCTCGGGCCGTTTGAAGGTCACCCTTTCCACCAAGGCATGGCCGGACGCGGGAACAGGTGGCGTGGGGGGGGCACGGGGGGCGCAGCATTGCAGCCTGATGGGTGAGCAGGTGGGAGACAGGGCTCATTGTGGAACTTCAATCAGCCGTGCAAAAATGCCTGATGCGGTGGGGGTGCTTACACTTGAAGCTGGGAATTGGGTGATTCTAGGACCTTTGCAGGGAAGACTTTTTCACAGGTGCCGTCATTGTTGGCTCCTTTTTTTGTGACACGTTGCCTGCATGCCTGCTAGGTTTCCTTGCTCACCATCTTGCTGGTGCTGGCCATACCCTTGTTCTCCATTGCCCAGTACCCCGAGCAGGACTTGGCGGCTGGCTTATGGGGCACACCCAACAGATGACGATAACCTTTTCTAAGTTTCTCTTCAACCCTGTGGGAAGAATGCTTGGGAAGGGATTTCTTTAATTTAGACCGACCAGCTGCAGGACCTCTCCATGACGGTTTATGCGAACATGTTGGAGACCAATTACGAGTGCGGGGGCTTGGCAAAGATCGGGGTGGTCTCAAGGGCCTTTTTTTCCTTGTGTTGAAGGCAATGCGTGGTGAATGACAACTAGATTTCATGTGGCGCAGTCATGATTTTGCAACGCGAAACGGGCCCAGTGCGTTTAGAAGGACATACAGCCCCTCCACTCTTCCTGTTTCAACCTGTTTCAACTTCGGGAAGTCCTGACTTCAACGGGTTGACTTGCCCTGACATGGGAGCTTCAAGACGACTTGAAACCATCGATGGGAGTAGGACGAGTAGGATGAGTGGGACCGCGGATGGCGGACGAGGCGTGGCTACAACGAGCTGGTGGCCGATTCATCGAAGAACACCACGTCACTCTTCCAGGAGAGGGGGACAAGACTCACAGCAACTCAGAAAACACATATCTTCGGCAAGGTGCTGAGTTAAAGGTTGTCGATTTCGAACGTGTCTTTTTCTTTTTGCGTGGTGTTTTTACTGGGTGAGGCGATATTTTGCTAGCCACCATGTGAGTGGCCGTGCAAAAATGCGTGTGTTTATGCAAACTAGCGAAAGGAACAAAACCGTTGGAGCTTGGGTGAGGATTCGGTGACAGAGATGATGACCTTCTATGCCAGTGGGACTGCGAACTATTTCCCCTATCAAATTGACGGCTTTGCAGAAGAGGCCAGCCCGAGGTGGACGTGTGGTGCTCGTCTATGCCATGTCAAGCATGGCCAGAAATAAATGTCTTTGGCAGACTTTGGCATGTCTAACTTGGGCCTAGATTCCCAGCACGGCCAGCACATCATTCGTGATTGATTGCGCATGCTTCCCTACGGTCGCACGGCAGCTCCGCGGAGCGCGAGGTCACCTTGCCCGATCAGAGGGAGGTCACGATCCCGGGCACCTCGCTGCTGGCGAACCAAGCATCTCCAAGACAGCTCTCAGACGTGTACCGCATTACGGCGGGGAGGCCCCAGATTCGATTGGAGCGGCCTGTCGCAAGACACGGGCGAGACAGGCGGGCATGAAACAAAGAGGTACATGTAGGCCAAGACAAGACAAGACAGAGGACCCCTGTTGCTCTTCTTGAATTTTGTAGCAAGCTTCCATACAAATCAGAAAAACACACAGAAAGCACCAGGGAAGTAGAAAAACAAATGATCGACCCGATGTTGGACATGTCGCTTTGTGAGAAAAAGCAAACACACATGTGCACTTCGAAATGTAGATTGCCTTGTAACATGCCAAAGGAATTCAATCCCTCAACGGCTATTTTACATTTGGAATTCTAAGCCTGGTAAGATGTCCCACGTGTCCCACTTTCCCAAACCATTCCGAGGTGCAGTGCCGCTTTGAGCGTTCTCCGGGATGTCCGGGATGCTCAGCGAAAACGACACGTGGGTCACTGGGGATTGGTCCCATGTGAAGCCATTCTGGAGGTTTGTTTGGAAGCCAGGAGCCGTGTAGGTATTTGGAAGGCATTCCTTTGACAGCAAGCTTGGGCTTGGGTCATGGTGCCAATTTGAACAAAAAAGTCCAAAAGCCCAGCTAGTTTTCCAAATTTTTTATCCAGGTCCCGGCTTCCTGTACTTCAACTTCTACAGCCCGCGCCGTATCGAAGTGGCCTTGGACATGGCGGGGAGGGCCAAGAGGGACCGGCTGGGGCAGTCTTTGCCCGGCTGCAGACGGCGCGCGGTGGCTGCTTGAAGGGAACGTTATGTCGCAGTTGCTCAAGCCAAAATCATCCAAAATCAACAAGTCATTATATAAATGGGAATTTGACTTGAGACCCTCTGGCTACGTGACATTTTATGTAAAGAGGCCGAAGGATGGTGGGGGTTGCCTATGGCCTCAAGGCATCTCTGACCTGCCCAGGGCCTAGCTGCCTTCATTATCCTGCTCATGATCTTTGTGTCGGCGAATTTGAACCAAACGTTGCACAAGCTTGTTGTGCAACCCATGGTGCTGCCTTGCATGAGTTTAATGAGCCGGGTGCGTGTCGAATAGGAGTCGTTGTTGGTTGAAGTTCTGCAGCCCTTGCTTCCTGCCCATCCTCCTGCAGCCCTGAGCTGGGTGCGTGTTGCAGCCCTTGCTTTCTTTCCACATGACGGTCATGGCAGGAAAGCATGCTCTCCGTGGTCAAAGACAATGCCTCCCAGCTCCTGAAACAGTTCGGTTTGGAAGATGGCATGGACAGCTGGGGCCGTGGCGTTGCCGAGAAACGGCTGTTTTCAGAACTGCCCTGCCCTGTTTCCGTTTCGGCTTGTTGAGCCACTCTGAGAGTTGGAACAGACCTGCTGGATGAGCAGTCACTACCTGCAACGAATCTAGGTTAGAACCTCCAAACAGCTCACGCATCTTTCAGCTATCTGCACGATATACAGAAGACTCAAAACTGAGCTGTTTCAAGACTCGCTCCGGCCCTTTGGGAGTCTCGAAACAGCGTGCCTCTTGGAATGTTTGACCATATTTGGTCCTTCGTTTCTGGCTACGCCGGCTACACGCCCACTCCTAGCAGCCGGTCATTGTCTTGGATGTATACTGTATATACATTGACTATAATGTAGGCTCTTGATGAAATGTCACCTCCCCATTGAACCATTGGAATTGAAACACCTCTTCATATGGGGGGTTGTCGGTTATCAATCAAGAGTCGAGGATCCTTGGACAGGTTTCATCCCAGCTGCTTCGCTGACCAGGAGGCGGATGAAGATCTGGAAGAGACGGAACTCCTGGAGGCAACGGTGTGAAGAAATGTTTCAGACGGAACGCCCAGTCAGTGATTTGGAGGCCACCCCCCCCTTTTTTTTTTTCCTTTTTCTGTGGTGTTTTTAGCAGATCGAACCAGTCCACAGAACGAGCAGGTTCTAGTTTTTCAGACGACCGTAATTTGGAAAGCTCAAGACCTATCTTGGGCTTGATGCGGCAATAGTTGCAGAACAATGACATGTGATCGGCGGCAATATGAAATCTATTTCAATAGATCTACTTGTTGTATGTAACATGTACTTTCCCTCCCAAACCGGCCAGTCAGAACGATGGGGCCGAACATGACCACGGACTTCTTTTGGAAGGGCCTGTACTCAGAATGCTCATCATCTTCATAAACAAAAGGATACAAAAAGGATCCGAATATCCCCCATAAAATCTCAAGGCACACCGGTAATTCCACAGGGGATGGAGTCCAGGATGGAGTCCAGGATGGAGCAAGGATCAGAAAGGGTCGCCTTCCTCCCGAGTCCTTTTCGGTCACCTCAGGGCATTTTCAAGAAGTTCGCTCGCCTGGCGAGCCTGGCCGCCGGCCGCAACGAAGCGACGGCGGAGGAGCTGGCAGGCGGGGGGAACCAGTGGGCCTCGTTGACTGGTGGGCGAAGGGCGAAGGGAATCCCTTGGCCAGGTCGACTCGGCCTCGTCTGGGCCCCTTTTTGGTGTCTTACGCGTAGGGCCGGAGACGGAAGCCTGTCAAGGGGGGAGAAAGAAGGAAGGAACGCCTTCCTGCGATGGTTTGGGATGGTGTTGCTTGTTTCCAATGTTTCACCTTCCTGCGGCCTTTCTTGTCAGGTATGGATGAGTCAGCACGAGGAGTGATGATGGAAATGATGAATGTTCAGGCTTCAGCAGCAGGGACGTGGCTGTTCGTGGCTGGAGTGAATCTGCTAGAGAGTGAGAGAGCTGGCCTAGGTCCTAGGTAAGACACGGCTTCCTTAATCTCAACAGCTTTGCAGCTCTGCAGTTGAAGCCGGCTTTGTCGACATCAATTCCTATGTCAACCGTTCCCTGCCAGTCATACCGAACCACTCCGGGACTCCGGGGTGACGAGACGTCGAACCGCGCGTCTCCCATCGGTCCGCAGGTGTCCACCGTCCCAGCGGGTGGCGACGCGCAAAACACCAACTTGCGTGCGAGTGCGTGGCCTCAGAATCGCCGGGAGTTCAGAACACCCCGCGGGAGACCGAGGGTCGCGTCGCGAGAGACCCGGGGGGCTCTCTCACCCAAAGCGCAGAGAGGGAGGCGGAGAGACCGCCGGTGGAATCGGTGGGCGCTTGGAACATCACGAAAGTAGCTAGCACAAGTGGTGTCCGCCGGCGACCGCGAAGAATCGCAACGATTTTTCGTGGTTGGTCACCGGCGATGTAGACGGATTTCGACTGATTTCACCAGTTGCACGTTTTTTTTTTGGGGGTATCTAGGCCGTACTCCAAGTAATCAGCCTGTGCAGCGTTTTCGGGTGCAAAAGAGCGCCGCCCGCAAGAAGCATCACTGCTGCCAGCCATGGGTCCGTCGCCCTCCCAAACCCCCAGAAAAGGAGAACCTCTGGAACCCACTTGCCAGCCTTCTTGTTTCGGGGGAGACCCATGCCCAGAAGGTAGACTCTCTTGATTTTAAGGAAGAGGTGGTTCGATCCAAGTGCAGGGCTTGTATTATATAATCTCTACATTGCGTGATGCCATGGTCGTTTGTTCCGATTTTTTCTGGGTGGCTGGTGGATGTTGGACGTTGGAGTGTGATCTGAGGTGCCTACTCTGCTCCGACAGGATCAGAAGGCCTGGCAAAAGGACCGACGGACAGCGCAGCCGCGCAGCCAACCAAGCTGGATGTGCCACCCTTGCAGCACCAGGATGTCTATATAGAAACTTAGCAAACCTCTTCACAGGATAAGCATTCACAACACCTGTACGTTGTTCACTCATAAGGCCCTTCAATGGATGTGAGGGTTCCCCACCTTTTTTCTGAACGGTGCGCATGGGTGTGGTCCTGATGAATCTGCTGCAGCAAGTTTATGAGTACATTTGTCGTTCAGCTTGGAGGACGCTATTAAGTGGGAAGGATCAGTTATGGGATCTTGTTGATGTCCCCCTTCAGGTGACCCAGCCCCTTGGGCATTCTATCATTGTTTCAGGCTGCCGTACTTGGCAGGTGCAGAAGAAGCAAACCAAGTCACTGCATTGGTGGAATTGCCGGATGTTCCAGTGATTGCATCTCTTCCAGTGACGAGGCGCTCCCGGATTTCGGGCGATGGCACTTGCGCATATGGTGCTGGGAGTGTTGCTCTAGTCGTTGACCAACCGAGCCAAAGGACCGTCGATGCATCAGCGGAAGTGTCGTCAGGCTACTTGTAGACCCCCCCTGTAGATAGAAAAGTCGTGATCCGCCAAGATCATCCAAATGTATTGGAAAAACGTGCCACTATCTATTTGGGGTATTTGGGGACCACTCTGGTCTATGGAGTCTATCGTCTTATTACTTCGCAAATCATTACTCTGTAGTTCGACGTCCGAGCCGTTCTGGACGTTCGCGTCGAGCTTCAGCCGCGATGCTCTTCCAGGGACCTCATCGAATCGTGGGACTTAGATGTCCTTGACTTGGACACGGAGGGTCAGACCAAGGCCGGTGTACCCGAGAGGAGTGGCGGCCGGTTCGACGTCCGCGTCGAGACGAGGGACGGCGACGCCTCCCTCGTTTGGTCTTCGCTTCTTCGGGTTGTGGCTTCTTCGCGCGGAATGCGACCTGCTGGTGCTGGGAAGTAGAGTAGAGTGAAAACCCCGGCCCCTGGGATGTAGAGGATGGTCTGGACCAGGGCGCCATCCACTTCCAAGCGAGTTGCAGGTGTTTGTGACTCCCTGACCTCATCGTTTCGTGGATCGGCCGCGGACGGGCGGACCCGTTGGAAGACCGAGCAGCCGGTGGGTGGTTGGTTGTCCTTCGGAGCTGGAAACCCACGGAGCTGGCGCTCCCCAGCTGGCTCCACCGGAGGTGGCGATTCACATCTTCTTCGACTCGACGATTGGAAAGACGACTGGACGCTACTGGTCAGAGGCCGGGAGTGTGGACCGTAGTTTGGGCATGGCGCTGAGATGTCGCAACTGTATCTTCACGAGTGTTGCTCTTTTAAACTTGCATTGCACCCCCCTGGAACTAACATAGAAGTGGAAAATGGTCCCTTGGACATGTTGGACGACGTTCGTTCCAGCGAGAGTACTTTTGTTTGGTCACTTGGATTTGATGACCTTTTCCGCCACGCGCCTTGCTGTGGAGGCGTTGACATTCAAGAGGTTTGAGAAAGTGGTGAAAGCAGGCCGCATGAACATGAAAGCGCTTTTGCTTCACCGAATCGACCGATCCTAGCATTCCTGGCTTGAAGACTGTGTTGTTGGTCGCCCACATGTCGCACTCTGAACGTGAAACTAATTCCTCAGCCAGCGGCCGGGCCACAGGCTACAACAATCTGCCCTACCACAACTACACTCACGCCTGTGATGCACCTTGGCTACCACAAGGGGGCCCCAACCTTTCCACCTCACCGCGGTTGGAGGATGGCCAGGGCTACCGTGGGACCATGTTGTTCGCCTTGCTTGTCGGCCAGTCGGGATGCGGGAAGATGGACGGGACCGGGGGTGGCACAAACATGAGTCGAATTGACTGTGCGAGAGCCAAACGCGCCTTTTCTGACTTCCTGCGAGGTCCTTCACACCGTCTACCGCATGATATGTTTGACTTCAGCGCGGACTTGGCTGGGCAGTGAGTGCCTGAGAATGGCCCACACTTCGAGGTCAATCAAAAGAACCGCTCAGCTGCCGTTCTGTTGCCCAGTTGCCTACCCTTGCCTACCTCTTGCGGGAAAACAGATGTTGATGAATTCAAACAGGTTCCCGAGAGAAATGGAAGTGCAAGGAGAAAGTTGAGAATTCAGCTAAGCACCAGAGTCACCTGCAAGAAAACCTGAGGTGTGGATATCTATGCTTTGCTAGTGGCTGCCCTTTGCCACGACATAGGGCATCACGGACGGACCAACCCATTCCTCGTCCGGGAGCTTAGATCGGTGTCATGCGTGCTTTGAAGAGCAGGAACGTTGTTGTTTGTGCTTTCTCCTGAAGTTTGGCCAGTTTAGCTGGATGTTCTGATCTGCCAATCGAGCAAAGCTAGCAGACTGGCCCGAGGTTGAGTTGGGCGATGAACTGGCCCTCCGTTACAACGACAAGAGCGGCACTTAGGGAGCCGAGTTTGCAGCAAGTGCTGCGAAGGAGGCCCTATGAGGCCCTGGCGGCCTTGATCGGTTTGTTGGAGCAGGGGGTCAGTCCTCAAAGCGTTGCTCCAAGCCCCCAACGGCCCTGCTCAATCTCAGGTCGCCACTGGAGAATATGCACTGCGCCAAGCTCTTTGAGATTGCATCTAACCAGGAGTGAATCGCTTTGGGAGTTGGGAACGCTGGAACACTTCAAGAGGTTGAAGGCAGGAAACGCCTGTCAAGGCGCCCATGAACTCCGCGCCTAGGAGACCGATGTCTTCAAGCAGATGGACAAAGAAACCAAGAAGCAAGCTAGGCCAGGTTACAGTGGGTTGCAGGATTTAAGGCCGTGCTTGAGCATGGGTGTGGATTACGTGGTGCTTATTGGATGTTTTGCATGTTGGAAGAAGCGCAGGAAATCATTGAGCCCTTTTTGGGGGGCTTTCATGCATTTTGCGGATTAGGCTTTTATCTTCTTGATTTGGACCAAGATCCTGGTATGAAGTATGAATCATGCACGGCCTGTGATGCAAACGGTTGCTTGCCCATATGTCTTCCACCACTCCTTGTAGCTGCAGTGGTTGTCAAACAGGTGCATCCTTGTACGAAGATTGGACCGTGCCCGTTTTCGTGCAATCCTTGCAATTTGGCCACACCTACCTACTCAGAATATTATATATATTTATATCATAGAAAACATTTTTTTGCCATTATATACATAACCCTTTTAACCATCCACACAGACCGAGGCAGCCAGTTTCACAAACGGCCCGCTCAATCAAGCCGACTTGTGACTTCAGATGTGAACCAAACCAGCCTCGCCACCCTCGCATTGCGCGTCGTGCCTTGGCGCCAACATGGCCTGGGCCAGGCGGATCTGTATCGCTGCGATCTTGCACACCGACAACGTCAACCACTTTGAGATGGTCCGTGAGATCAGCAAGGCCGAGGGGCGGCCGACGCGTCGGAAGCGGGGGCGGACGCCGAACACGAGTCGTAACATACGGCAAGCGGGTCGAAGAGTCTGGGTTTTGACCCATGTGCAGATACACGTGAGCATGTGTGATCATGTGATCATTTTTTCCATGCCATCCATTTAAAGCGCCGCCTTCGACTCTGTCAGCCCACGAAATGGCAGATCTACGAAATGGCATCTGACCTCTGCGAGTTGCAAGCAAGCCAGCCTGACCTACTTCCCCAGTACACGGAGCAGGCCCGGCGGAGCCAGGGTGCAGCATGTCAAAGTGAATGAAGTGTTTCCATGACGTGGAGATATGGCAGATGTTATATTGCTCCGATTGCTCCTGAACGTTTGTGCAACGTTTGTTTGGACGCCTCGCAGTGCCATCTACTGGAACTCAGTTCAACAGGATTCGTGCCATGTGTGGGATGTGTCCGATGATTCTCGAGGCTTCCCTTTCCAATTTCCATTCCCAGGTGATGCAGAAGAACGCCCTCCAATGGATGGAGCTCTTCCTGCATTTTGCTGATGTGTCCAACCCTCTGAAGCCTTTCCCAGCTGGAGCCTCGGGTTTGCCGTCGAACCTCGAGAACGAATTCAGGTATACATATATAATAATGTACATATACATATATATGCTACCCCCCAAAAAGAACCAACGTTTTCAGACAAATTTCTTGCTTGTATGTATGTGAGAGTTGTCTTTTCTGTAGGTGATCCATCCCGTCCACCCTCGATCCCCAAAAATAAAGAAGTTATTCATATATTTTTGGCCGCCAGGAAGTACAAATTACGTTCAATTAACTCTTGATCACCAATTTTAACTTATATCAATTGGTGGGGCTATCAGCGAGCATATATTGTTATTTTGGATGGCTTTATATTATATAAAATTTCTGCTGTAAAATATATAAGCCACTAAATATGTTGACCATTAATTTCCTCCACAAGCATTCTTCATTACCAAACAAAAAGGCTGCCGTCAATAAGTTAATGGTCAATCAATAATAAACTACTAGCCTAGCAATGTAAGATTGTAAACATAATCTCCACAAAGCCATTCTATAAAAGATGGACATGGAGATAATACGTTTGTAATTACTGCAACACCCCATAAACTCATTTGTCCTAAAGGTAAGACATAACCCAGAAATGCTGTTGCCATTAATAAGAAGATAGTAATAATTCCAGAAAACCAAGTATTGGCATTATTGGGCCTCTGGGGGGTGCATAAATTTTTGTTTTTTTTGAGCCTGCCAAGGAATTTGCTATTTTTTGTCTACCCCACCTTGCAAAAACACTGGCAGGCTCAACAAAAAGCAAAAACAATCAAACGCACATAATCACAAAACCCTGGCAGGCTCAAACAATGCAAAAGACTCAAAAGTTTTGGCATCTATGGGGGCTCTGGGGGGTGCATACATTTGTGTTTTTTTTTGAGCCTGCCAAGGAATTTGCTATTTTTTATATACACCACCTTGCAAAACACTGGCAGGCTCAAAAAAAACACACGCCCATAATGACAAAACCCTGGCAGGCTCAACAAAAAGCAACAAAAACAAAAGTTTTGGCATCTATGGGGGGTCAGGGGGGTGCATAAATTTTTGATTTTTTTCAGACTGCCAAGGAATTGCTATTTTTAATATACACCACCTTGCAAAAGCACTGGCAGGCTCAAAAAGATCAACCATTTATACACCCCCCAGACCCCCCATAGATCCTAACACTTTTGTTTTTTTTTGGTTTTTTGAGCCTGCCAGGGTTTTGTGACTAGGGCCTTTTGATTTTTTTTGGAGCCTGCCAGTGTTTTTTCAGTTTTTGGTCTACCCCACCTTGCAAAAACGCTGGCAGGCTCAAAAAACATCAAAAAATTATACCCACCCAGAGCCACCATAGATACTACAGTATTTTTTTTTCCCCAAACAGTTTACTGTTAGGGGTTCTCAATGCTTTAAAGAATGGTCGCCTTGGTGCTGGATGGTCTGGTCGGGTTCCCGGCCGACTTGTCTCCCACTTCCTTTCATTTGTCTCCCAGTTCTTTTCATTTGTCTCCCAGGCTGGGTGATTGTGGTCGGGTTCCCGGCTGGCTTGTCTCCCACTTCCTTTCATTTGTCTCCCACTTCTTTTC